GCGCGTTGACGGCGTACATTGGACGACAATTGATATAAGTTGTGGTGAAAAGTTTAGTGGCATTCAACGATTGCTTTGCTAGATTAAAAGCGACAGGCAGCCAGTTGGGACTGGGCAGTGAACATGGATTGGAGCTGGTCCTGGATCTCGCCTGGACCTCGACCGGGATCTGAAGTCTGGACCTGGCCACAAATCTTTTTAGGCTCCGCCACAATCACAATGCCAAGTAAGAGCAACAAAAATATGCGGAACAAAAATAAATAAATAAAGGAAAATAAGTTAAGAAGCAGGCAGACAAGTCAGCAGACAAATAGCCGCGAGTTTTGTACGTGCCGCTTTGGAATCCGTTTGCATATACATATGAATATATATATATATATATAGTATATTCTCCAGCCTCTGAGGGTGTAGATTGTTTATATGGAGTGCCTGGCACTCTGCACTTTATGGTAGTTGGCATCTTTTAATTGCACATACAGCAGCCGCCACAGGAGCGGCCGCCCGTTAGCCGTAAAAAGCTGAATTATGCGATCCTACGTGATGACAGCCCGCTGGGGCATTCCAATACGTCGCACTGATGCTATCGGATCGGGGGATAAGACCCTCTGGAGTACGCACATATATACGTATATATATATATAGTAAGCCCACTGTCACTTATTACGTATAAATTGGGGGAAGTCACAAAACGAACATTAAATTCCCTTTCAATTTTATGGGGTAGCATTCTAATAATTCTTGTTTTGAGAATTAATTAAACTTAACAAGTTTTTATATAATTGTATTATTGTAGCATTATATTTAAAAACCAAGGAAAAATCATAACACTTCTTAGAAAACTTAATTGAATCACAAATTTATTGGATCATGTGTTAGTTATAATGTGAGACAATTCCATACCATAAAATCAAGCAATTCCATTTCAATTCCACTTCTTAGAAAACTTAGTTTAAAGACAAATTAATGGGATCATGTGTTGATTATAATGTATGAAATTTCCATACTATAAAATTAAGCAATTTCTTTTGATGACAATAAAAAAACCCACACATATTCAAAACAAGTACCATGTCAGCTATACATTTAAGATAGAGTATATATAGTGTTTATCAGCAAATGACATCTAATGAGTTAGACACCGTCGCTTAACGGGTCCCAAAGTCTGAATCTGAATCCGAATTCCGAAAGGTCTGAGTTGGAATCTGCTGCTGAGGTTGCTGCTCAGGTTGCTGGGATGTATTTGCTGCTGACTCCGCTCGTCGCACCTTGGAGATCAGCTTTTGATCGGTTGGAGGAGGCTAGAACCTGTTGCCAAATATCTCGCTTAGATGTGACTGCGTGAGATTTATCCGCGGACTTAGATAGAAACTTGAGTGAGTCAGTGGTATGAGAAAACGGTTTTTTTGGTAGCCACTCAGCGGTCATGAAGAGTGGTGAATCAGGCCATAAAAGAAATCTGCATATGCACTTAAAAAAAACCCAGGCTGCCACCTTTTGAAAGACGGAAATGCTGATTGCGCTACCGAAGTGTTGAATCAGTCTTGAGTCCGGCAGAAAGATGACCGACATTGATAGAGATGGTGTTGATTTTCCTTTAGACTGCTTTTATAGTTTCTCATTTAATTTAATTAGAAAATTATGATTAACCTAGCAAACCATAAAAACTTTAGGTAATAACAGTTTGGTTTACACAATATTAAAACAACTGATTTTTCTAAAGGTAAGCTAAACTTAAGTTAGGATGGAGTATAATGGACTTGCAATCAGTAAGACTATATCTTTCCCTAATATTTAGTCTTTGAAGCTATGAATATATATATCTATTTGGATAGTTTGATATCGTGTATTACAACTATTATAATTCTCAACTTATTTTCTAATGCTTTTAATAAACACTTCCTGGCGTTTATAAAATTTCTTGTTTATTTTGTTATTTATTAAAATTCGCAAATGCTTTTCTAATGCTTTTAAAAAAAACACTTCCTGGCATTTACACAATCGGTTTAGCTGACTTCCAGAGGTGATTGCGAGTGGGTGGGCAGTGACCCGCCCCTGAGCATTTGCGATAAGTCTGGAATCGGTTTGGTTTAGTTTTCGCTGGGTTTCGGGCCTAAGCCAATGTGCGGCCAACAAAATCAGCGGGTGACGGCGCACACAGCGGGCCTCCGTTTGGGCCTCCTTTTGGGCCGGATTTGACTCTGAATGTGACTCCGATACTGATACCAATGCTGGCTCTGGTTTTGGCCCAATCCGCTCCTTTCCGATGCCGATGCCATACGAAGTCCAACTGCGTGGACGTCGTCCTTTGGCAGGGAAGGTGGAAACAGTTTAGGTTAATGCCATGGGCAGCAGCAGGAAGCGGCGGATGCAGCAGCCTCGGCGGCGGTTAGCTGGAAAACCACACGTGCCTCGGAAGGCGACCACATGCCGCTCCACAGCGGAGGTCAGAATAATAGAAGTGCCACCGAGAAATGCGAGACCAATTCCAGTGCATGCCAATTGCGAAAGATCGTTGTTTGTTGCCTCCATTTTCAGGCAATAAAAGGTGTATATGTCAGAACAAGTGGAGAGCTCACTAAACCATTCTAATTATTTTGATTTAATAAATTTATAAATTTAAAAAATAAAAATCAAAAAAAAATATTAAACATTTACATAACCCTAATTTATTTACTTTCTTTTACTTTTGTTTTTAAAGTTATCAAGACACATATAATATCTATATTTATCTATAAAATATCTATATTTATATTGCCATTTAAAGGGCTTAATAAACCACTTTGATTATTCATTTAAGTTTACATGCTTTTGTCATTTTATATTCATAAACACATTCAAAATTGTATTGCCAATGAAATGAGTTATAGAATAAATTCCCGTACTAGTTAAAGATTTTCACAAATAAGTTAAATAATTGCTTGCTGTACGTTTTAAATAAGAATATAAAAAACATAAAAAATTCCATGACATTTTTCGATAATTTGGTAGCCGTACTACCTACCACACTGACCGCTTTTGTACCTGCCGAGATAACCACAGGCCACATCCCGACCACAGGCCCTATATCTATATGTCCTGGCCCACACTCGCCACAGTAGCTGTTGCAGCATTCGTTTCGCATTTGGAAACGCTTTCATTATGTGCACCTCGCCGTGGGTTTGGTATCTTTGTATCGGCTCTCCCTTTTCCGGGATCCTGCCGCGTAGTGCTAACATTTAAATTTGTGGAAAATCGAACCTGAAATCGGAGTGAGGACTCCTCCCGGGGCAAATGTTACGGCTTATCAAAACATAGTCAATATTTAATTAACACGAACGCAGCGGGCCGAAGGGAACTGGGAATTTCGAACTTGAGAAATGATTTATGATCGCATGTGAAATTATATGCCCCTCTCTTTCGCCGTATCCCTCACTCTTTTCCCCTTTTTGGTATTTACCAATTGTGCGAGCCGACAAAGGAGCAGTTGGTCTTAATAGTTTGCTTAATTGTCGGTAAATAGTTAACCTAAATGCTCGGCAAACGTTGCGATGAATTGATTATCGCATCCCTCACAGGTACAGTGGGTGCTCGCAAAGGGGAGATACCAGCCACACATCGGAGGTGAGAAGTTTCCTGAACACACAGTGCGTACACCCACGTGCTGCAGATAAGAATTCGATCAGCTCTGTGGCAAAGGAAATATGTTTATTTTTGTATTATTTCAAAATGTATTTCATGCCACAAAAAATAAAATACCTTAAAAAAAATCAACTCCTTAATTATAGGAATTTGGCTGATCGAGGGCTACTGAATAAATTTAAATTTTTAAAAAGGAACTATTTTAAAATATTCTTGACGCCCAAAAAATTGTTGTTTTAGTTCCAAAATGGTTTTTATTTATTCCAAAAATATTTCTTTGTAAAAGTTTTTATGCCCCTACATAAAATGTCCGATAATTGATAGTTTGAAAATGTGAAATCCATAAAAAAGTCTAGGTCTGAATTTATAATTATAAGTATTGTCCAATCAACAATAAAAAAACTGCATTACCAATTAACGACAGAAGCGCGTAAAAACATGACAATTATTCTATAATCTGCCAGCTTACTGATGTTACTAGTTGGAATTAATTAACACTATTGCTTAAGCACTTAAATGAATAATTAAATGTCTGCTTCGAGAGAATGCTATTAAGAATGCAGCAATAGGAAAAATTAAATTAAATTAATCTCTTTTCAAACGAGTTAAACTCCCTTTTTAATGATTTTACGAAATGCTCTGAAAAATACTTGCAAAAGTACAAATTAAATCGCACTTGCTCTCCCTTTCCGCAATAAAAAAAGAACACATTTGATTGGGTTTTTCTGGTTGGATTTTCTTTTAATTGTATAAATATGTTTATTTAATTACTTATTGTTTCGCCGTTTAACTCTAGGTTTATTCATAAATTGCTGTTTATCGTTTTAGCTGATTTATTCGGGGGAAATAAAACAGAAAATATCCAGAGGAAGGATGGCATTATTAATGATTTAATTTTTTATTATAAATAGCGGAAAAACATGTACAATCTTATTGCCGGGCACTTAAAAGAAGGAAACAAAAACAAAAAACAATTTTCTCATTATTTTTCGTTGATTTCGCGCACAATTTTTCGCTTTTCTTTTCGTTCTATTTATTTAAAATTTAAACTTAAACAAAACAATCGCATATAGTAATTATTTATTTAATAATTGTTTTTATTATTATTAATATTTATTATTAATTTTATGTAATACATTTTCAACGTGTTTTTTCTTTCGATTTTAAAATACAAATACTTATGAAATATGTGTTTGTGTGTTTGTTTTTTGATTTTATGCATTTTTAATATTATTATTAAATTGTAATTAATTTTTATTATTCATAAAAATATAGCGAGAGTGGGTGTATGTGTGAAAATCTTTAATATTGATTAAGGCAAGATAATTGCAGCTGATTGTTGTCGCATGTTGCTGTTAAGCGTTGTTGCTTGTTGCATGTTGCTGGTGTGTCGCTCTGCGTGTTGCTGTTGTTGCCTGCATACTTAAAAGCACAAGAAGCTTTGGCTTAATTGCACTTTCACCGGCAACACGAGCAACACATGTGAGAAAGCCAGCAGCAACATGTTGCTGTTGTGTTGCATGTGGATTGTTGGGCGTTTTACTGAGTTCTCCTGGGATGTCAGTTGGTGTTCTGCTATTGCTGGTAGGTTGTTGCAGGCGGGAATGCTGATATGTTCCTGCAGGCTGGTATATTGTTATTTTCTTGATGTTGCGTGGCATGTGTTGCTGTTGGAAAGGAAATTTCACCATGTTGCATGTTGCTGTCGATTGCAAATAGAGGGTTTTCTCAGTTTTTTCTTTTTTAGACGCTGCACTTGATTATTTTCTATCTGCAACTCTGAAATTCACTGCATTTTAGGATCTTGCCAGCCCTCCATTGTTGGATGTTGCAAGTTGCTGGTTGTTTTGCGGTTGCATGTTCTTCACTTTCCGTAGCAGCCACGCCCACAAGTGTCCATGTGTAGATTTCTGTAAATATTATTGAAAATATGGTGGCTGCTGTTGCAACTGTTGCTGTTGTGCTGCGCCTGCGCAACATGTGGATATCTTTTTTTCTGCTGATGATGGGGGCGTGGCAAGTGCATTGTATAGACCAGATAACCGAATAGATTGAAAACCAACACCTGAACTTAGCATTCCATTCACTATAATCGCTTGTCGTGGCTGTAGATTGCATCTAGTAGTTTAAGCAATATTGCAGTTGCTGGTGCTGCAGGTTTTATATATATATATATTTAAAGAGTGGTGCATGAAGAAGTAGGCGGGGTGTGTTGCAGTTGCCTCATCAGATCCCATTCATTCATTATGTGTGTGTAAGATATAGCTGTGATATTGCGTGCTGTTGTTGGTGCTGCGGTGCTTAGATATCGGTTTTACTTTATATATTGCTCTGTGTGTGTTTTTTATATATATTTATATATATGTTTATATGGTATTTTAGCTTATCGCCAAACACACTGACTACATCTACAAATAGAAGAGAGAGAAACAGAAAAATAGAGAATAATTCGTGATGTGGTAGAAAACAATTATAATAATACTGAGTAATCTTAACAAAGCGTTGCTAACTGCCCCAAAAAAAAATGATTTCGTTTGTTTTATGGTTGGTTATATGTTTATGTATATGAGAGTGTGCTGATTGTGCGATTGAGCTTTTTATCAATTAAATAGAGCTTTTGATTCGGAAAATTCGATGGTTAGTTGGAAATAATTTACCGAACTTATAGATAATGGGGATTGCATTTGTATTTTCGTATATATCTCGATATAAACATATAATTTAATCTCTTTCCTGTCTAGCCATGTATCTATTGAATACTAAATATTATTTTTGATGTAACTATTATCAACTCAGCTAAAGTAAACTGCAACGAAACTAAAATGTAAATTAATCTGACAGATTACAAATGAAATATAATAATCTTTTCAACAGGTAATTTACAAATGCTATTTCCTAGTATTGCCTACTTTTCATACTAATATGCATAACTATTATAAATTCAAATTTATACATCTCGGGGGAGTAGAACTTTCCCTACCTGTATTTATATAAATTTATGTGTTCCATTTTAAATACCTAATAAGTGGGTTTTCATAATGCAAATGTAATCTTTCTAAGTAAAACCTCTCTAGCATTGTGAATCCCCTGCATTATCTAATTGCTTACTAAGTGCTTTACATGGAAATGACTTTTAAATAAGAAAAAGTGGAAACTAGTAAATTTATATTTCTTGATAACCAACACCATTAAAAAAATAAATGATTTTCGAGTTTAACAGTTGGCATTATAATAATGCATTATAATTTGGGATATACATATGTATGTATTCTGACACATGGAAATTAATCATGTTGGTTTTGATAGGTAAGAATAATCAATTGATTCATGATAATGTCTTAGACAAGGTTTCCTCGTTAGAAAAATATAAACTCCTAAGTTATTACGCAAATACTATCCTATTGACTTTACTTCTATTCTTTTATTTTTTATTTCCTAAAAAAACGAAACGTACAGGAATATTTTGAGAAGCTAGTACCAACTCACATTGCTTAAAAATCATGCTAAATCAGTGTTAAACCGGGAAAATCTACACCAAATGTTGAAGTGTCTGTGCTGAAGGTTTGGACGTGATGGGTATCTTAGGGGACCTTAGATATTGGGATGTGGCTCACCTGTGCTGGCGCAGGTTGTCGCGCTGCTTGAAGTACTTGCCGCACACCTCGCACGAGTAGGTGATCTCGGGGGACTTGTGGGTGCGCTCGTGGATCATCAGGTTGTACGGCTTGGTGAATCGCCGCTGGCAGTACTTGCAAATGAACTCGCACTTCGGACGCATCTTGCGGCGGAAATCGGACCGGCAGTCATCGTTGTCGATTCGCATTACAGCAAACATTTTGACAGGCGATATGTGTACTTCTGCTCTGCAGTTGAGTGCTCGGGGTTGAGTGGGTGCTCCAAGTGCTCCAAGTGCGGCGGCGGTACGACGACGACGGTACGGTTCTCAGGGGCTCTCCCAGTTGGGTGCTCCCGCTCTCGGCAGATGGGGATTTCCGTGGGCTCCACTCCCGCTTTTCGCAGCCCTCTCAACGGTGCTCTCTCTCGGCTCGGGGGTTTTCCACTCAATGGGTTTTTCTCGGGCACTACGCTCCACACTCTACCTCTAATCGCTATCTCACAGATAACACCCGCCGGTTAATTGCTGCCTTTTTGGCTGATTGGTCGGTGAAAAGCGGCAACGTCGCTTCCTCTTCCTCCTGCCGGCTTTATCTTTTTGGCCCGTATCGCCGCTCTGTGATTTCACCTCTCCTCCCCTTTTTTTTTGTCACGGGTGACCAGTAGGTGGTGTCGCGGTGGGCGTTATTTATTTTTTACTCTCCGGCGACTTTTTGGTTTATGGCGCACTTTAAGGCAAACACCTAAAACAGAGGGAGACGCAAAGTTTAAATAAAGTTAGCAACGCCTGCGACAACTTTTATGGGTCAATAAATTGCAAGCAAAATATATGTATAAAAATGTCTCGAGTTATATCTAAACAGTTGTGGTCAAATGAGTAAGAGATTTTTAATTTGATTTCAAAGGGATTTCTTGATTTCACCACATTTTATCAAATGAATATGTTGAGGAATTTTCAGGAAAATTAAATTTTTAGAATCAGAAGATGTTCCATTCAAACCCTATTCTTCAAAGCAACCTTACTTTGCACTACCTCTTCCAGAAATATTTAATTAAGCTTCTGCTAATCAACAACCTGCCTAATTTATGGCTATTTCCAAGTGCCATTATTTTGACCACAACTGTATACATACTATGGGTATTATTTCCATGCATATGTGCGGCAACAACGAATTGTCGGGATCACGCAACATGAAATCGGCCATGACTCATTAAAAGCAACCAAATCCGCGCCTCGAACGCGGTGTTGACATTTACAAATCACCCCGACGTCCAGACAACTGTTTTTCACAGTTGCTAACCTTCGGCGGGCTTTATAATAATTTGTCTTCAACGACACCGACGCTTGTTCGCCGTTGTCTCTGGGTGTATGTGCTCAAATATATACATTTTCTTTGGAAACTTTAGTGGAGTTCATTGACGGAAGGGGCCTGTACCTAACTTCCGCAAACAGAGTTCTTCAATTAGTGGGGTATACACTCAATGATGAGGTCTTAGAATACCGATTTTAATCAGCAATGTAATCACAGTAACAAAAATATTTAGGATAACTTAGACAAAACCTTTCTGAAGGACATTCTCCTACCGAAAATACCCACATACCAAAGTAAATTAAGTTACGGCCATAAATACCCAAGTTCCCATGGTCGGTTTGCATTTCTAAATTAACTGAGTCATCGCGCAGCTGGCTTAATGCCTTTGGCAACTCCCCCGCCGCGTTATGACCAAGTACAGTTGCCAAATTCTCCCTGTTTTTGGCCACTTCATTAAGGTGGCGCTGCAACAAGTTTATTTTTAATTGGCGCCTTGCGAAGCCGATTGAAATTTATGCCCATCGATGCGTGTTTTCCCTTCTCACCAGCGCGGTAGTTAACAACTGTTATTTTTTATGTAATTTTATTTTTGTCATTTCGGCGCCGCTGGATTTCTGATTTTTGTTTTTTTTTTACTTCCCTTGGTCTTGGTCTTTTTTCTTTTCGGAATATATATTTCCCAGATTTACTGGCCTTTTTGTTTCGCTCGGGGTATTCGGGAATTTTTCTGCGCGAAACAAAAGCCAGCGCTGACTGGTAGCAACAAGCGTCTCGGCAAGACCCGATTTCGATATTTATTTATATGTTATGGTGCTTTCAGCTCGCAGCTGGAACACTTTTGGGAATGGGAATGGGAATGGGAATGGGAATCGGACTTGGATTCGGATTCAGATTCGGAATGGGAATGGGAATGGAAACGGGTTCGGTTTGGGGATCGCCGATCGGGGAGCTAACGTTGACAACAAAAGGCAAACGTCACAGCGGGTGTTGCACCGGCCGCAGACGGTACGTAGTTATTGTCATTATAACATTAATGCCCACTAAACATATTCAAATTATAACACTGAGTCTCGCTTGAGACCTGCACTGCGAGAAACGATTGTGGCTCAGTTCTGAGAAAGTTATTTCTGATTTCATTTGGTTTCCCTAAAGTTACAATAGTTTGGATATTTGAATGCTTATCTACTTTTTGGCTTCATCATTTTTAGTTTGATTATTATTTGTTTGTATAGAGTTCTTAAAAAACTAGAATGTATTAGGCCTTAAATATCTTAAAGATTGTTTACTTAATAACTTTCTATTATTAAAAATTTTTTTAGTACCGACTCTGTTTGCTACTATGCTGGGACTTTTAATATGAGAGTAAGTCATTTTAAAAGAAGTATTATTCAAAACTTTTGGTTCTCTAAATTGACATCTCTGTTTATGTTCCAGTAAAGATTTTTCCATTTAGGGGACTATCATTGTTTCTATTATATAATAAAATATTGTTTACACATCAAGTAAACAAATGCTCTCTAACGTTTGAATACGATTTCTAAATTCGATGCCCCTTTTTCCCCAGTGGGCTTGGGTCGCTGATCGCATTGGTCATGTCTGGCGGGGCACTCGCCTGGGATCGGCTCAAAAGCCTGCCCCAAACAGACTCCTCCAATGTTAATTTGTGTACACAATGTGGCGTCACATTGGCATTTTAACGCCGTTAATCATGCGACACAGGGCGCCTGCATAAGGCCATCCATTCGATATGGATTCTTTGGGTCCGGGTCTCTCCGCTCCGATCGGTCTCGCATTTGGCCATGCTTTGGATTTGGATTTGGACTCGGATTTGGACGTGGATTTGTCTTTGGTTTGTCTCTGGCAGCGTGGGCCTAAGTGGAGCAGCATTAGCCACGGGTTCCTCTCCGGGTTAAGCACTCTATTTGGTCGTCGAATGACGATGAAATTGTCTGTAGTCTTGGGATGACAGAGGACCGAGAAAAAATGGCGGGGAACCCTTCGAGAGCAGTGAAATTCGAGCTGACAATTGAGTGAGCCCATCAATTTGGAAGGTTAAGTGAGTTGGGGAATTTAGGTAATAAAGGTTTCCAATGGCAGAAGGACTATCCCATGGAAATGAGGCTTGCGATTAAATGATAACTGTGCGATTTTTAAAAGTATTCGATAAAGGGGGTATTATGGGGAAATTATGCTTGTATAACTAAGAAAAAACCATTGAATAAAAGCAAGTTTGACATTGTTTTACAGAAAGAACACCAATCAGTTGGGATTGCTTTTAGATTTATTTTTCAAACCTTTCCAAAACCAAACTAAAGTAATCTTATTACCTTAACTCGGCCTTACTGAAAGGTATTAACAATCTTACCATCGACTAAGCGGATCTTTGTAATCCGGTGAAAACGCAGGCAAAACAACCATCAAAATCCATCGGACAACCTGTGCAAAATCATGCCAAAGTCAAATAGGCGTTACTTGGCACCTTTTCCTATATGGGATTCAAGCGACCTCCAACTGTTAGTATTTGGCAACTGCGAAAAGCAAACCGCTTAAGCGAAAAGCGAACACCCACAGATCCAAAGAAGAAAACTGCCCAAATATTGTATAATAAACTGTTGTCCAACGCAAAGATAATCCCATTAATCCGCACTGAAAATAATTAGTGTTGTACACACACACTTTTCGAGGGAACGGACATATATGTCCAGGTTGAGATCTGAAGATCTGAAGATCGGAAGATCTGGGAGATCTTTCGCACAGCATGATCCTGACTCTGGACTTCGGTTTGGTTTCCGTGTGAAGGGCATGCGAAAGGCGTTAATGCTGCGTGAAATTAGATTTGCACCGATGGGAAAGAGAAATAAAATGGCAAACAGAGAGTGGGATTATATATGGCAGAGATCGCTGGCAAAGAAGTGCAGAGTAAGTGCGTCGGGGACTTCCACGAAACCCCAGTCGAGAGTTACAGTTTAACACCCCGAGATAAATGTGTGGCGGTATGGGCGATAACAGGCTCAAAACTGGGTCCAAAAAAAAAGGGCTCAAAGCAGTGACACACACGTCGAAGGACGGGATATGGTCAAAAGCGATTACCACACTTCTTTCACCTCTCATCTCGTACCATCCTTTATTTTTCTTGTAGGAGGCGGACAGTGAGTTGGCAAGGTGCCATTAAAAATTACAACCGAAAAGTGAAAAAAAAAAACCGAAGCGAGAATAAATGACAATAAAAGGACATAAGGCTGGCAGGACAAAGGCACCGAAGTCCATTTGATACGAATCTAATTGTGCTAATGGCGCAGAATTCCCGGGAAAAACACCCACACACACGGGTTCCAGGGTCCTGACAACAGAACCAATAAGTCGGTGGAAACAATTAGGATATGTGGCACTGCCACTTCAACGCGAACAAAGGAAGGTAACCCCAAACACAAACACACCACAAGGTACAAAGATACAATGAGGTTGGGTATGAAGGGTATTGGTAGTATCTTAAGATCCATCTCAAATCGGATGGGAATTACGGGGCGAAAGAAATTCGATTTCAGCCGCTTCTCACCTTCAGCTGTTAAGATATGACAGTTGCTCAAAAGTCGACGCAGATTAGCTGCCAGCTGAGCCCATTTACCGTAATCGCTTAGCTAATTAGACTCTAATTGATGGAGCGCGACGGGCGGTCCAGACGAGGTCAAAGATCAGACAGTCAGGAGGTGAAAACAACGGAAAAGAAATGGTCGCCAGAAAAGCGGTACAAATTCCGGTATTCCTCAATGCACAGACCGAGAAACCAGAATTAACCATAATGCATAACTTGTTAAAACTGTTTATGAATGCCAAAACAAATTATCATAAAACCTAATTTTCAAAAATGCTATATTGCAATAACTATGCTAACCATTAATGCTATTCCTTACTTTTAAGAAAACCACATTCAGGATCATTTTCGCAAACTGCTTAACACCTTTACCAAAACACTTGTTAAAATAGGGAAACATCCTAACTTCTTGCAAACAATTTTCTGATTTCTACAATTTTCCCCTTGATTCACTAGACTGCCTGCTTGGTATTTCAAAATATAAGACATTCACAAAACTTTTTGAACATCTGTTGGTAGCTTGAGCCGTACTCATTGGTATTTCATAACCGAATGAAAAAACACAACCTAATGAGTCATAGTTTAAAAAACTTGTACCAAAACGGCTGATGATGATCTGTCGGACATTCTTGGCGATGATTCGCTGGGTTTGTGCGTCTTGTGATCAACCTTCGACCAACTAGACTTTTGTCCAATCTAAAAGAAGTTTCTTCATGCTGACTCATCAACTTTTTGAGCCTTCATTCTGTCGACTTGAATAAATGCCGACGGCTTTTGGAGCTTCCAAGGAATCGTAAAGTTTTTAATATATCAAAGAAGAGCCAGTTGAAAAAATGCACGAAAATATGCGAAAAATGTATCATAATGAATTTATCTTCTTAAGGAATTTGGAAACTTACAAAAATATTTTTATTTTTCGTTTTCGAAAAAAACTTAATTGCAGTTTCCTTTTAAAATATTTTAAAGAAATATTTATATTTTTCTTCAATCCATTAGAAATATGTAAGGCTTGTAGTTAACATAAAAGACTTTGAGTTTAAGTAGATCCCCTTATTTCGGAATTTACGCCAAGATATATGGGTAAACACTTTTTCCAATCCAATAGGGAAATGTTCAAATTTAGCGTCCGCCATTTTAACAAATGGCGACACTTTCTCACACACACAGATATCAGAAAAAAGCTCCGTTGGCCACACGCACGCCATATTAGACGCTTCGCCCTCTCTCCCTCTGGCGCACTAAAGGCCCCCAAAGACATGACCGGGCAGAAAGAGAGGGCGATACACGCACCCGTGTTACGTGTGGGGTTTTTTCTTCTTTTTCTTTACTCAGTTTTCAGTTGTCCAATGAAAGCGGCGTAAAACTGGTAGCGAAACAAGCGTGGAAGGGGGAAGAACGAGCAGAAGAACGAGGTGGAGAAGAGCGGAAGAAAGACTTACCTTATCCAATGGGAAAACACTGGAGTTACGCGATCTTCGAGTTCGAAATCGAGTAGTTAACCGTTTTCTTTAGCTGATTTTCGTTCGATCGAATGCTTGTGAGTGCGACCGTAGGATGGTTAGATCGATTTGTATCTTTTTTGAAGGTACTCGCGAAGGAACTGATACTGTTACTTTTACTGATACTGATACTGATGAGAGGGAACTATATACGTACGCTCGAGCGGCACAAAGTTGAATGAATGAATGCTACTAATAACTGAAAGAAATAGTAGTCGCCTCTGCCGACGTCCTCTGCCGGCGTCGCGGCCGACGTCGCTGCTTGGAAGTTGAGGAAGCGAGATCATCGCTCTGTCTCTGTCTGTTACTCAATTCGGTGGCACTGGGTGTGTGAGTGTGTGTGTGTGTGAGTCATCCGAAGAGAAACGAAAAGAAACGAGACGAAACGAAGACCAGTAGCCGAAGCTACTGCTCATGCGCAACATTCTCTAGCCGTCTCTTTTACACTCCCTAAGTTCTTAAGCGTAAGTACGGAAGCTGAGCAAACAGTAGCCACAAAATGGCGTCGCTTCTAACGGAAGCCACCAAGAAAAACGCAAAATGGCGTCACTTACCTATTGCAAAAGCCACGAAACTCCTTTAGTTTTTCGCCAAATCACTTGTATATGAACTTTTTATATAGTAGCACTGTTAGCCCGCAACTGTTGGGTAATATTATTAATAAAATATATTTCACTTCCGAACGCTTCTGTGCGCGAGAGTCAACTGCAAAGTTACGATCGAAAACTTCAGCTTGATGGGTTGAACTTTTTGTGGTTTTTCTTTTTTTTCGTTACCCTCTTTTTTACAGCCCTCTCTTGGTTGGCCATCTCTTTCTGCCTCACTGTCTTAACGGGAACGAACGAGTTTTGAGTGTTTCAGCTGATTGGTCAATGGGAATGAGCTAAAGAGCGGGCTGAGAGCCATGGAGAGTGCCAGAGCGAGAGAGGGCTACCTGAGTTGAGTGTTTTTGAAGGCGTTACCTGAGCTGACTGTTAATTAAGCTTAAGTAAGTCAACATTTCAATTAAGTTAAGCGCGCTAATGAGTGAAAGGTGTGTTGGTGCCTCAAAAGTTTAATATCTCTGCGATTTCTTTGGATTTGGTTAGACTCTCTCTCTCTTTCTTTCTAGCTGCTGTTTAATTTTAAAGGTAACTTTCTTTCACTTATACCTGTACATATTTTTATAGATGTGGGCGTGGCTTTGGGCAGGGCTCTAGCTGTCTCTCTCTCTGGCTGGCCTTCTCTCTCTCTCACCCTCTTTTTAACTGCTTCTTAACCCGTTTTGTGTGCAAGCGAGAGGTTAAACATAAAAACCAGTGGCAGAGCAGAGCAACCGTATTACGCAGTACTCAATTTTTAGTTTTTTTCTTCTCCCTTTTTTTTGTGAAGCTCCATTTTGTTTTCAGGGCCTGGGAAACTTTTTTCTCGCATTTCTTTTAGTTTTGCCGCCTCCGCCTTTGTTGTCCTCTTCATCTTGTGTGGCCTCATTAGACCCAAGAAAAAAACACCCATATTGATGGTCTGTTTATCTTTTCTGCCTCACCATATATGTTTATCTTTTACGATTTCTCAATGAAAACTGAAAAATTGTGTCTTTCATTCAAAAAAAAACTTCATTAACTTAACACCCAGTGTTTTTAATTAAGTGCGCCCGAAAAGGATTGTTTTAATTAAGTTTTCGCCTGTCCATAAAGTTTAACAAATTATTTTCGACTGCTTTTGGGCATTTTTAAGTGCAATCCGTTGGCAACTCCACTTTGATGGCTTCATCTTTGTCCGCCTCGCTTTTGTTTTTCTCCGTTTCCGTCTGTCTTATTGTTTTTTGGATCAAATTTGCATATTTTTAATGGGCAATCAGCAACTTCGGAAAGGAGATGTATCGACAATTGCGAGGAGCTTCCTTATGAAGGAGAAACTAATTATGAACCGTCCAAAAGAGACCTCAAAAATGTTTTTTGCTTGCTTGCCACTTTTGGAGACTTCATTTTGGGATGAATAAATTGTGATGCAATAATTCATTCGATGCTACAAGATTTTTTTAATTTAATAATATGGAATTCAAACGAATAGGTTTTTAAAATTTTAATTTATCAATTTATACAAAATTTTATAATTTTATACCTTTTCAAACTCTTTTATTTTAACTTAAGTTTACTCACCATTTTATTTTAGAGTTATTTGGAATATAAGAACCATTCTCTACACTTATCTATCATCTTCAGGCCATCTGTCGTTCAGAAGACCCTTGAATTTTGGCCAAATTCTTCGGCAAAACTTTCTCAATCTATCAATAAGCAATGTTAAGGCCAAATACAAAATTCCAACGACCCAAAACTTCTGCGCCAGACAGTGCACACAAAAGTATTAAATTTCATTAATTGCCAAAACTAAAAAGGCAAACAAAATCAGACAACAAAAAAGATTGGTTAAGAATTAAAAATTCATACGGCAGCGATGCGGTCACATAAATTTTGGAGGAGCAACAAAGACCGCGGCTGAAAGCAGGCAGATGCAAAAAATTATAATAAATATATACATGAAGATATACGGATGAATCTGTGGAAGCAGGCAAATGTCGAAGACGTGGGCGTTGAATGGGATCCGTTGGGGTTTTTTTTTCGGCTTGATTTTTTTTATACTTTTTGGTTAATAATAATGAAACTGGACCGCAGCCACCGCAGCAAGGCGTTGTCAACAGTTGGCGACGATGATGCTGATGATTCCGATGATGACGACTTGGTTCCATCTTCATCTTTTCGTTTCTCCATTTGGCACACGGTAGTTGGCTGAGTTGTCATTTAGCTTCGGGTTTCTGGGCCTCATTCAAGGTGTGCGAGTACTAAAAAACTGGGGGTAGCTCATCACTGAGGAAAAAATGATAATAACCGCCTTCTAAATGTAAGATTTCTTGAAGTTTAAAAAGGAAATATAGCACAATAATAAAAACTCTGATTTAAACTTTATCAACAAGTATTTTTCTTGGGTTTATAAAACCAAAACTGCCCTATATTTATTAATTATTTTATTTATAAATTCTTGAAAGGATTTTATGTCTAAAAAGAATTCTTAAAAAATGTTAAAAGCCAAACAAGTTAATACGATTACGTAGGATATCGTATGACATCGATTTTGGGACATATTCTCGACTGCTCAACGCTTTTTTCCGAGTGTATCCTCTCCCCACCAAAGTCGTGACTTGATTTATTTTTTTGGCCCGGACCTGTGTATTCACATAAATTTGAATTATGGTCCGCTGGCTCGTAAAGACGCTGGGTGATGTGTCTATTTTAACAGTTAGTCGGGGGACGGCAACCGAACGGCGAACGATCTATCAATGAATTCCGCAGCTGAATGAACTGGCCCAACCAAACTTGATCGGATCCTCATTTGATATGCAGCTTCGATCTTCAGCTTGTATGCTAATTTTCGTTGTTCGATCTTCGGTTTCAGCTCGCGTCCATTGTTCACTTTTGGCTGTTTGCCGTGCGGTGTTTTATTTAATTTTAATTTTTATTTCGTAAATTTTAAATTTGTTGTCACTTCTGTGGGAGCAGCCGAGGTTTTTCCACTCGCCCGCAGTCCTATACGAATTGTTTTTTATTATAATTGGGTGCGGTTCGCAGTGGTTCGGTAGTATTTCTGCAGAACTCCATGAATCGATCCTATTGTTCAGTTATAAAAAAAAAACACTAATACACACACACTCATGAGGAGCTCTCTTTTTTGTGAGGCAGCCGCTATAGAAATTAATAAAATTTATGGTTTATTTGGAATTCTTGTTCGTTTTTTCGGTCATTAATTTGCCATAAAGAAGTAGGCAAAGTGTGTGGCAAAAGCTTTTAAAGTGGGTAGACAGGAGGGACTCCATTGTTCAGCTGAATGTTTGTTGTTGGTAAGGTTTGATAATCAATTTCAAACTTGATAGCTTAGTTAGGAACTGTGAACCGAAAAGGTTACTTTTAAATGACAATTTGAATGTGTTTAAATCCTCTTCTATTACGATTTCCAGAGAATTACTTAAAACGAAATGAGCTCAAGATACATTAATAACCATTCACATTTGTTCTGAATTACTTTACTGATCAAGCCGGAAAAATGACTTCAAAGTAGATTATTGACCATTAAATCACTCTTCCACTTGACCTCATGTATAATGCACCCCAACCAAAAAGTCGACCATTGTAACTCGGCTCTTATAACACTTATCACTGCCCAATTGATCTGAAAAGGTGTCAACCCATGTCTCTTTGGTTTCTAAATAGGGATTCCTCACCTCCCTGGCCGCTTTGTGCCTAAAAACTTGTAAACTGTGTTATTTTCCTAGGAACACAATCCCCATTCTAAACAAATTACCAGCCCACATCTTTTCGAACATTTTCACCTGGATTCTAAGTGATTTACGATCGATTTAGTTCTCTGGTCTTTTCCTAAGCGCCACACGAACTTCCGTTCCGATCATGGGGGATATAAAATCTCAAAGGTGTCGCCTGCGTGGGTGCCAAGAATTCAATTTGAAATTAATAGTATAGAGTTAACCTAAGCAACACTTAATACTGTTAGCTGCACATAAAAATAAATAGTACTTTATAAAATGCTTTAAAAATATAAACTTTATTTAGTTAAAGTTTCGATTCCTGTGATACATGGAAATTAAATCGATATAACCCTATTTTAAACCTCCTAAATAAAGTTTTGTTTTTGAAATATTTTTTTATCTGTAAATCGAATCCCACCAAAGTGAAAAGTCCAAAAATGTTTTATTACATTGATTTGCATTTAAATCGATGTTGGCGGCGGCGTCATTCTATACGATTTCGGATACAGGGGTTTTTGAGGGGGGAATAGACCAATGATTACGGGCACAGCGAGCGGTCAAAATGTTGACAATGATCCCAGATATCCCACACCGCGACCAGGTCAAAAAAAACCCAACCCAAAAACCTTAAAAGTTTTCAATGAATTTGTTTCTTTCTTTTCTCTCCACTGTTCTTTCTTTTTTTTGTTGAATGGGAAGCGCCGAAGTTTTCATCCTTCAATCTGGAAACTTTTTTCTTTTGTATATTAGATCATAAATTATGGAACTTTGCATATATGACAAAACAAATAATTTTTTTTCGGTCTGTCGTGCTTCCAGTAGCCACCCCGCTGGGCCTCGAACCCCCCACTTCGCCTCGCTAGTTGGGAAAAATTTATTAGTTTTTCCATTTTTATTGAGGAATTACAAAGGGAGGGCATCGGGCCAAAGGAATCTCTGGGGTAGGTGGCGCCTTGCTTAGGGATTAGAGGCTTAAGCCTCGGAGAGGCCCGAACGCAAGGAATGGGAGACCATGGGAGAGATCCGATCCCTCACGATTTGTGCTCGCAAAATGCTTTTTAGCCCCAGGCTCAAAAAACAAACAACAATAAAATACATTTTTGTTCATTCAAAGTAAAGTCGAAAACGGACAACAGGTTTACTTTTTTAGCTGTTGTTACTGTACGGGGGAACTCAACAAGATGTGATTTAGCATTTTTATTATTCAGTTTTTTGTCCAATAAAAGTATTCTTTGGAAAACTTATGATGGTTGTTAATGATTTAATTCAGAAATTAATGTTATTTGTTTGTTTAACATAAGCATATTGCATTGCCATTCCTCGGAGCTACTTTATTATTTATTTAGTAAATCTTACTCTTATTATTCATGTTTAAATCTCTTCTGATTTCTAAGGCTCTCTTAAAGTATATTTCTGCATATTTTAATTTTAAATTTTTTTATTTTCTGATTGTTCATTTTAGCATAGCTAACCTGTAATTTGAACAATGAGAAAATGAAACTCATCCGAGTACTCGCACAACAACAACAATGAGAGCAAAGCAGCCGAAGCTCAAAAAGCCGAAGGCAAAAAAAAATGAAGCTCGAATCAAGCTCCAGCAACAGCAACAACAACAACAGGGAGAGCCGCAAAGAGAGGCTCCCCTTTTGTTGTTATTGTTGCTGCCAGTCACTCAGCCTCCATTTCATTCTCTTTTTTCTGCCTCACTGGAATGGCATCCGAAAAAGAGAGAGAGAGAGCGAGAGAGAGGGTGTCCTACCGTGGGAAATGAACAGTAGTCGCCTTTTGGCTTTTTGCACCACCAACAACAACAGCAGCAATAAAAGCAGTAAGCGCAAAAACAACAACAATAAGCAGCAGCCAGTTTACTGACGTTCCTTCTTCCTCCTTTCGCCTCCCTCTCCTTCTCCCCTCTTCACCCACTCCTTCGCTAACTTTGTTGTTGTTGTTGTTTGGCTGAGTGAGCTTTTGCAATTTCACTGCAGCGATTTGCTTTTGTTTTTGTTGTCGGCGCATTTCAAATAAGCCTAATAATAATGCAATTTATGCCAAGTGGAAGCAGTGCGAACATAGGGCAAAAGAAAGAATTTTACACTAAAAGTAAAGCAGTATGCAAAAGAATTTAATAATAATCAATATATGTATATACATATGTAAATTAAGGTGACCCAACTCTCTCAGTTTTTTATTGGAAGATCTTGTTGTGCAAAAAGTCTATTCCAAAACCAAAAAATTGTATTTTAAGTTTAAGCCGTTTCCTTAGAAATTACTCGAAAGGCATATAACGTCAGTTATAACAAATTTTTAATTAAAATCAACTGTGCGTATGAGTGATAAAGTTGGAAGTTACAAAAAATTCCACTTGGTTGGCCTTAAATGGATGAGAATAGATCCTTAAAATGTTCATACAAATTTGATCCACCCTAATTGACATACAACAATAGTTTATCGCTTATAAATATGCTTTTATTATTTTAACATTTCTAAAAATTAACACCACAGTTTTGTCTCTGAGGCAAGTAATATTTTACTTTTACGTATACGTAATATTTTTTCTAGCTTCAGGAATATTAAACATGCTGATCCAACTGGAAAAGATAGTTTTTAAAATTAAAGTAGACACTGGTTTTCCCTTTATTTAGTTTTGATTTTTTAAAAGAGAGGTCTGGTCTTCAATTGTTTTAACTAAGGCCAATTTTCCAAGGGTGGAAAATCCCCCGGCTTAATTTCCTTTTCCTTTGTGTGGCTAGCATTTGGGTAAAACCTTTTAGCACCTTTGACAGGCCACTGCGCAAATCACAACAAGTTGCGGGCCAAACCGAGTTCACATTTGGCACAAACACACGCTTCGTTTGGAACTCCGTTTTGGCTTATCAGTAACCGGGCCAAAAAGTGGGCAAACATAGAATCGAGGGATAGGGAAAAAGAATATATGGTATTTGGGATGAGGAAAGTGGAAAGTGGGATGCCCGATGCAGATGCAGCGAACAACACCTCTCTACTGAATTTCGAGGGTTTTTCAGGTTCAAAGTGGTTTGCATAGGTGATAGTTGCAGTTACACTGGAAAAAAGTTCAACATTGTTTCTGGCCTAAAGGTTATTCTTTAATGTTTAATTTTTTAGATGCAAGCGATATTTTATTACCACATCATTAACATTTTAAATTAGGTAGTGACATTAAACATTATGAAACACAAATTTATTCTACCAAATAAATTTTTAATAATTTTAAAATTGAGGTCTTCAATAATATAATCACAAATGGGGCAAAGGTGCTACAATTTATTTTCTTCGCTGAATATTGAAATGATTAAAAGCTTTTTTATGATCAATAAAATATTACATTTTTAGCAAGCAAATAAATATTATGTTTTAAACAATTTTAGGATGCCACAGAAATCACTTTCAATTTAGCAGGAAAAATGATACAACATTTACGGATTATGACAGGTTACAAAATAGCCAACCAGAACTAATAATTTTCGGGTTTATATTTTCTTCGAGTGCATGGCAATGCAAGATGTTGTTAAGTGGTAGTTGCGGCGTCTTTGGTCAAGTACGTGCGCCACTGCCGTCGGTGTACCGCTGCTGCTTCCGTCCCGCTCTAGCGCGACCTGCGTTCCGTACCGTTATCTCCGATCGATCGGCGAAGGATCGCACGCGCTTGTTGGTGCAACCATAGATGTCTGTTTGTCCATGGAGCAGATAACAAGGAGGTGATAATTGACCGCCCAATTGGCTTGGCAACCAATTACGAAACTTATCAGCGGCACCGGCAATCAAATCAAACGATCGTCAGAGCGGGCGGAGTCAACGCCGGTGGTCCAAATGCACTCAAAAAAAAGTATGCTTCCTAATCTAAGAGTAAGTAAAAAATTAATAATAAATTGGGTTGTTTAACTGCAGTGTTTATAGGTCCTAAATTTAAGTGATACAATTTTATTAAATTAAAGGATTTTTAATATAAATATCAATAAAGATGCTTTAAAAATTTAGAATGCAGAAAAATAACCTTAAGGGGAAACCGTCTTAAAAAGAAGCTCATCTTTAATAGTTTTATATTTCTTGTTTATTATTTTTTTTCAGTGCAGTTATCTCTTTGAGAACGAGTGTAAACGAGAGCAGCCGCACACCCATTTGCGAGGTGTGAAAAGATCGGGCTGGGACATCCCCCGGCAGGGATATATACAATAAGATAGTATGCTAAGTAGTTCCTTATCTATGGGTTGTTTGCCAGGTCGGTGGTTTGGTGCAACTGCCGCACCACAATATCCTGATCGTGGGCATGCACCAGCAGGGCCACCTCCAGATTCAGTTGCGCAATGTCCTCCTTCAGCTTGGCGATCGATTTCCTGATCTGCTGCACCGAACCTAATAAGTAAAGAAAGGCAATGGGGTTGGGATTAGCACCAAATAGCGATGTGGGTGGTTTCCCGGAGGATCTGTGATTTTGTTGACCAGAATCAGGGATCAACGATGGTAAATAGGTGATCTTATCACTGCAAGGCAAATACTGTGTAAAAGGTGTCGATGTTAAAAGGTATATGGCCCTCAGCTAAGGTAATAGTGCATTTTATGCGGTCTATGGAAAAATTAAATGGAGTTTTTTATGTTAAATATAATTCTATTGGCTAGATTTTGGTAGATTATGGCGTAAACAAAACCATATTTTACAAGTTAAACTTTGGGATGTTTTGGGAGCTTTTGAAATATATTATCTTAAAATGGATCATAAATATTATACAAGCTATAAGTCACTACCTCAAGTAAGACCAATAATGTTTATTTCTTGGTTGAAATATTTATGGAAATATTATTCTTATATCTTGGCTATCTCCAATTCCAAAGGCATATGCTTTTATGCTGATACTCACTGCCATCGGACATGACCTGACCACGTCGCTCCATCTCCTCCTTTTTGAGCTCCTGCTCCATGAGGACCTCGCTGAGCTGTGCCATCTGCTTCTCGGTGTCCGCCTGCACTTGGTTTTGGGCATACTGAATGGTGGACAGTTCGATGGAGAGCTCCTTGAACTGTTGAATCAACGGCTGAAGTTCGTTGTTCAAATGCTTCTCGCGACTTTCGATTTTCTCCAAGCTGAATGTGAACTCGCTGTGGAGTTTCTTTAGTTGCGCTTCGGTGGTTTCCGATAACTCTGAAATGCTCGTTCCAAAGGCCTCCATCTGACTGATGTGGGTCCTCCAATCGCGGGCATCTGCCTTGACGAAAACTTTCAGATGGGGCAGGACTCGCTCCAATTCCAAACGCCACTCCTGATGATCGCTCATCCGGGCATCCAGTTCCTGGTTCCGCTCATCGAGATTCACATCGCCAATGGACTTCCTCTGCGGGCGATTCAACCAATTGAGTTGCCTGAAGTTGTGCGCCTCCAACTCCATATCGCTGTCATCACTCAAAGCGGCCGCATTCTGCTCGTCCTCCAGTTTTTCCAAGATGATCTCAGCGTTGTCCTCGAGATAGTCCCCCAGGAACTCCTCCTCCTGGGCAATGTGCAGCTTTTGGTAGCCCACCTTGGCCACTTTGCAGGCCTGCGTGGAAAGGACATCCAGGACCATCAGGCAAATGGGTCCAGCTCCACGAATCAGTTTATTGGGCTGAAAGTCCACTGGGACATCCTGAAAAAGGAGAGTTATTTTTTAAATTCCGTTTATGGATATCACAAAAAATAATTTAAATAATTTCCTAAAATAACAAAGATAAAACAGTATTATAATAAACTTGTATATTTGGAAATCAAATTGATTTTTTTTTAAAAATAGCGTTTGGAATATTAAATTATTTTTTAATTGATGACTGTAATTAATTTGTTTGTAGCCATATGAACGTTTTGAATTGCGTTAAGTATTTTAGTACTCACAATCTCCCCAAGCATTTGAATGATTTTGGCGGCCACTGTGTTGGGATCATCGTACTCCTGTGGCCGCTCCATATCCTTTCCAAGCTTCTTGCAAAGCCACCAGCATATTAAAGTGAACATATAGAACTGCTCGCCGGGATTGGTGGCCTTCACGAAATAGAAACGTGACAATGGCTTTAGTTTGAATTCCTTGAGCAAATGCTTCTCGTAGTTGAGTAATTTCAGTTTTTCCAGCAAGTCATCCGATTGAAAGTTTTGCAGCTGCTGCGTTTTTTCCTGACCATCGTCTTGCTGCATTTTCTTGTTTTTGTTTAGCAAAATAATACTTTGTTAAAAGTGAGCACGATAGTTGAAAAACAAATTAGTTGCCTTGGTAACAACATGTAAGTAAACTTACGACAAGCGCATGCGTCTTAGTTGTGAATTGTTTATTTATTATCAATATATTTTTTATTTCCAATCATTGTTCATGATAATTTAGTCATTTTCATCATCATATACATTAAAAGATTTCAATATTTGATTTATAATCATTTTTAAATATGTACAAGTTTTTCAACAGATGGCGCCACCATTCAAACAGCGCTGTTATTGAGCGCTTAACAGCATTTATTTCTGTAAACTGAAATTCTAGTATTTATTACGGGGACGTATAGTATTTTTCATCGGTATCGGCGCGGTCACACTGATCATAGCGTCACTTTTTTGAAAAAAAAATACAACTTAATTTAAAGAACGATCGAAAATTTAATTTCCAAAGGAACCTGAACAGTGCAATATGTATAAAAATCTGGACCTGAACGCCCTGAGTGTGGATGACATCGTGGAGGAGTACAAACTGCTCCACGATCGTCACCAGCAGTTAAAGGATCAGAGCGAAAAGGATGCCCAAAGGATTTACGAGCTCAAAAGAAATCTGGACACCGCTGTGGCGGCTGAATCGTATTTAACGCAGGAACTTGAGCAGCTGAGTAGTCAGCCGGTGGCCAGTAACTCCGGAGGCGATTCCCAGGAACTGGAGGAACTGCGTCGCAAATACAAGACCCTGAAAGAGGAACAGGACACACTGCAGCAGGACTACGACTGTAAAGTGGAAGAGTCCTCGAAACTAAAGGAGAAACTGGCTGCCACTGAAAAGGAACTGGCGGAAAAGTCGGCCTCCAGGTCGAAGGATCCCCACGAGGATTGTTTGGCGCGTTTAAATGCCTTGGAGCTGGAAAACTGCGAACTGATGCAGAAACTGTCGGAATACGAGGATTCCCGCATCACCAACACCCTCGCGGTGGCCGAAAAAGAGGTTCCCACTAAGCACAAACCCTTCTAATATAGTCAACATACTAATATATCTCATCAATCCACAGAAAACCATCGAGTGCCTCCAAGATCGCGTGAGTTGCATGGAGCAGAATCTCAACTGCAAGCGGGACGAACTGGAGGAGAAGTTACAGGTGCTGGAGAGCTGCCAGGAGCAGCTGGTGGACGCCAATGCCAAGATCGCCCTTCTTACTTCTGCTCCTGAAAAAAATGGTAGTTAGAGCTTAAGCACATATTTAAACATTCGATCTCATTTGCGTCTTTTATACCTATTTTATAGATCGCAAGGGCAACTCCTTGTTCGCCGAGGTGGACGATCAAAGACAGGTGATGAAGCAGCTTCTGGCGGCCCAGAAGAAGAGCTATCTGGACATGAAAAAGACCTTCACGGACAGCCAGTTTGAGATCAGACGCCTCAAGCGCGAGAATGTGGCCATGCACACCGAGCTGCAGGCTTGCAGCACCATCTTCTGCAGTGCGGACAAGACCTATCAGAGTGGGTATTGCGTAGGGATACTTTCATGTTTCATTTTACAAAGATGCGGCAGAAATACAACCCCTTCTTAAAATAGGACAACCATATCTCTTGTCGTAACGTTTTAAAACACATGCCAATACTAATTCCTCTTTTCCCACACAGACAAACTGAACGAGCGCATCCGGCAGCTGATGGCTGCAAATGACACTCTGGAAAAACAGCTGAATCTTTCCCAGGAGCGGCTACGCCAGCTGGCCAGCGAGAAGTCGGTCACTTGGCTGGACTCGATGCTGGATTTCTGCAAGTATGAGTTGCCCCTCTTGGTCGACACCGCGCTGGCATCGTTCGGCAATCAGTTGCTGAGCCTCACCAGCTACGGCCTGTTCTTGCTGACCAGTTAGGTAGCCTCCTTACCCCTAATGCCTAATCCTCATCCCCATTTAGACGCGAAACGGACGAGCTGAAGGCGCAGCTGCACAGCATGTGCATCCAAAAGGCCGGACTGGAGGAGCGAATGCGATCCGTACAGCAGGAAATGGCACGGTATATTTTTAAGATAAACTTGCTCTTCTATTACTAAACAAAATTCTTTTTAGCTGGCGCTTTGAGTCCCTGAAATCCCGCTGTGTGCTTATCGATCGCGAAAATCTGCTGACAGAGCACAAGATCAGTTTCAAACCCATGCAGGCCATGGAGTTTAACATCAAGGAGGCGGAGCTCAAAGCAGCGTTGCCCCGCATAGTCAGTGTGACTCCGACATCCCCCTCACCATCTGCTCAATTAACAACAAGAAGAACCACTTTGATTGCGGCTCCAGAAACCACATCCACATCGCTTCCAAATCCAACTGAAATTATAGTTCTCGATACACCCATGAAGCCTTCTATTAAGAAAGAGGGAGTGGAGCCTTTTAATCAGGCATCAAAACCTGCCATAAAAGGAACTCCTGTAAAAGTCAAACGGGAAGCAATAGAATCTGGAATAGCGCCTTGTAGTAACAGCACACCCATTAAGACAATTATGGGTATTAAAATAAAAAGAGAAGTCAACTTAAATATAGATCAGAAAGCCCAGCTTAGTATCAAAAAGGAATTGGAAACCCCAGAAGCAATTCCTATGTCCCAGATGATGGGCACACCCGTCGAAGCCAAATGCAGTCTTAAACAATTGCAAAACGATGAAGCGACTTCTCCAAAGGATATGAACCAAAATGAAAGCGAAGAAGATGATGTGAAGACTACGGAAACCCCAGCCAAACCTACGATGAAGGGCACACCAGTTAAGCAACGTTTGGGAGGCATAAAAGTGAAATCCAACGAAGAGTTACTGGGATCAAGAGAGCATCATTTGGAGACACCTGCTAAGCCGCAGCGCAAGGGAACTCCTGTAAAGCTCATAAGGATAGATACCGAAACGCTAGATAGTGACGAAGAGTCCTTCAAAGAAACACCCAGAAAGGCAGATGGAAACGAAGGCGTTGAAATCCTTGACAATCCCACACTACAGAAGCCACTACGTAAAGGAACTCCAGTGAGGATTGTCGCCATCAAAGATACGACTAACAATGTGCGCTCTATCTTGACCAAAAAACGGCAAGTCTTTGCCGAAGATTCGCAAAAGGCAGTCAAGTTTAGCGGGAGTGATCCTATCGTCCACAACTTAAGTCCTGTTGAGAGATTGCTAACTGAAGAGGACACCAAAGAAAATGAAAAGCCGTTGGAAACAGAGGAAAGCAAGGACATAAAACCGGTAATCAAGAGACCAAACATTATACGGCGTATTGTAGTGAGCTCCCGGAAACCATTAATGAAATGATTGCATTAGTTTCCTAAAGCAAACTTTAATTCGAATTTAGACTTGGCCGACCTTAACCATTATTTACAGATCAAAGCAGAGAAAGTAAGGATAGAATAATGATAATTAAATTTAGTAAATGTTTTTTATTTTCTCGCATTTCAAGAGCGCTATTTAGGTATTGGTTGACTACAAAATAATTAGCTTAACAATAAAAAAGCAACAGCCTATAAATACAGTCGAACTTCTTTTAATAATAAATTAGTAATTATCTGAGTGTATGGGGCTACAAAACTTCAAAGGCACTCAAATGTATTTGCACTGATGGACTTTATATGTATATATTTGTTTTTTTAATATTTTATTTTATAAGAAGTAATTAGCTAGTGAATTTTCTGTGAGTGTCATATGGGCATTCTTGAAGTATTATCAATGCTCGTATAACACTTACTGGAAACTCACTTCTAAAAAGTGTATATTTTCTTTCTAATTCCATTTTCTGGAACTTCTTAGAACAGAGAAAGAGTGAGTCCATATTTTTGTGAACAATCTTGTCAATTCAGTTTAGCCCTTTGCGAGCGGATGATTTTTTTACACCATAAACTTCTATGATTTAAACTTTTTATCCCATATCCAAATTTCGAACTTTTTTAAGTCGTTTATCACATTCCTCGGTTTTATTATTTGGAGGCGCAACTTTAAATGTAACAAGAAAGGAAAACTAACTTCGGGCGGAGCCGAAGTTGAAATACCCTTGCAGAATATTCTGTAAATTATATTCTCCAAAATTATATAAATGATGCATTCTTAACACTCATAAAAATCCCAACTTCCTAACTTTACCAAAGTTATGGCATTTCCGATCGTTCAGTTATATGGCAGTTATCCCGTTCCGACTTATATACTGCGTGCAAAGGAAATAAGGGTGTGTGCAAAGTTTCAATTCGATATCTTTAAAACTGAGAGACTAGTTCGCGTAGAAACAGACAGACGGACAGACGGACAGACGGACACGGCTATATCAACTCAGGAGGTGATCCTGATCAAGAATATATATACTTTATAGGGTCGGAGATGTCTCCTTCACTGCGTTGCACACTTTTGACCAAAATTATAAACACCCTCTGCAAGGGTATAAAAAGGTATTAACACAATGCGATGCAGTTTATATAGACATTGATAAAGCATTAAATATTTTATAAAATATACTTTCGGTTATAAGGACAGTTTGACTGAACACCTAAGATATATCCCTCAGTTCATCCAGTTTGGGCATCTCCTCCACAAAGGACAGGTGATCGTAGATAGGAGCCGTGGAGCTTGGAGTGGCTGCCAACATAACATCCTTATCCCCATTCTCATCCGCCTGCTCCTTGATCTCAGCGTAAAGTTGATATGGCAGCTCGGCTGGCAGGGATTCGTAGGTGACGTGATGGGTCCTCGAGCAGGTGGATTCCCTGTGACCCGCGCAGTTGCAAATCGAGGCACCACCACTCACTGGAGTCTCATAACCATCCGGCAGTTCCGTTTCCAAATCCACTGGGGAACCACCACCATTCGCAATGGGATAGCGTACTATATCAACATGATCCACAAATCTAGGACCACTGGATGATTTTTCGCCTCCAAAACAGGGCAATCCTGAGACGTAGTAGGACAAATGGAAGAGTCTTTCGCAATGGAGATATAGATATAGCAGCAGGAAGAGAAATGCGATCCCCAGAGGCAGCATAAACACGATTATCAACGCCAAGGATCGCTGACTTCGATGAAGCTGCACGGGATTTCCATAAAGGACTTCGAAACTGGAGACATTTCCGGTGTGATGTGGCACGGGAATCGAAGAGTCAGATCCATTGATCCTCACATGCATAATTCTCCTCGCTTTGGGAGGTTCCTCCGTTGGCGGTTCTTGGGGTTTACAACTCAAGCCATTAACATTGATATGGGATATATATTTAGAGTACTCAAAAAGTCGAAATAACTGCGGTTGCGTGTGCGAGAAATCCGAAAGCCACTGGCAGCTCCACGGATTATCATCGATCAAAAGGCGTAGTTGTGGGTTCCAGTAAGGATAATTGGCCTTTTCTATCTCCCTTAGGCTCATCAGTTCGTTGGATCTCAAATCAATGCGTTGAATTGTTCCTGGGGAAAGCATGCCCAATTGGAAGAGGGAGAATGTGTGGAAGTTATTCTCCTGCAAGTAAAGAATGCGAAGACTAGTGGTTCTATAAAACCACGTGAAGTTCAAGTGCTGCAATTTATTTCTGCTCAGATCCAAGGTCTCAAGGGTACTTGGTCCATCTTGAAAACTTATATTAAAAGACACTAAGGCATTGTCACTTAGGTTTAAATGAACAATATCCAGATTACGTGGAGGATCCAAGGCGAAACTTCTCAGCTGGCAGTTAGTGAGGGTAACATTAACCAGTTTGGCAATTCCTTTAGTCAGAAATAGTTCTCCCGGCTGTATAGCTGTATCTTCAATTATCAGATCTGTTAAATTCTCAGGCAAGTCGCTTAAAAAGGCATTCTCTATCTTTTTTAAATTCCTTAAACGCAGTTTTTTCAGCCCTGACAGCTGCATGATGATGTCATTATCTTTGAGAACTAAATCTGCTTCATCCTGGATAGCAAGCTCCTCCAGTTCAGCACAGCCCTCAAGCTTTTCCAGGAATCTCAAGGAGTTCTGCTGCATTTGGAGTAATTTCAGATGAGGCAGCTCGTGAAAGGTATCTCCACTCAAAATGCCCAGTTCATTGTTCTTTAGGGATACTGCTGTGAGATTGGGGAGTAAAGCTCCACCACAGCTTAATTTCAGAGTGGCATCACCCACAAATCGCTGGATCTCCAGGCTTTCCAAGCTCACACAATTATCCAGGTACTCCAAACCATAGCTGGAGATTCCCAAGGGAGGTGTTTGCGAGCCGTCGAGGAGAACATGCCTCTTTCCCACCACTCTTTGGGCGCCCAAGTCGAATGAATTGACCTCCAGGGTGCTGTTTCCACTGCAATCAATATCCAGAGGTAAGCCGAAATCCTGGCTACTCCTTTCCCAAGAAGATGTCTTATAGAGTGTTGCACGAATGACGCAAGCGATAGTGTTTTGAGGGGTTATCGAGAGGGGGCTATTGCCGGATTCGTAGGCGGAAGACATCTCGTCGTCAGCTGCCCGCACGTGTGACAAACTCAGCAGTACGACAGCGAGGAAGACGCACTGCGTCATCATCTCGAAAAAATGCGACCTGCCCATCGGAGCGTGCGAGTCCGTTAAACTATCAAATTCATCCGTTCGCTCGCGTCGTGTGCGAAAATCAAACTGAGGCGAGAACAAATCGCCGAGCGACCCTCACATTGGAAAAGCCAAACTGAAAATCCGAAAACCACCAGCGCACCTTTAGCTTCATTTCAATATGCTCCCCGCTGGCCATCGCCGATAATATGCTACCCAATAAAAGCAAATACCCAGGGTATCTCGTGCTCTTCGGGCTTTTGTGACAAGTTCAACGATAATATATTTAAATTCAAAATTTTTGTGATACCTTATATAGCGTTATTTACACAACAATATTTAAATATGTATTTTCTTATGTGAACTGGACCATGCAGGTTAAGATTATTATTATTTAAATTGCCTCAAAGCTATACAAGAATCTATACAATTATCTTAGTTAAAAGATTGTTTAATTCATAATGAAAAAAGCTTAATTAATACAAATCAATAATTTTGAAGTTTAAAATAAATCAAGTATTTATTTTCACAAACATTCTTATCAGGTATCTCTTAGTCGACCAACTGAACTTTAGCATTTCTAGTTGTTTTAATATTAAAAATTATTTCTGAGAGAATCTTTGTTTTATATTTAGACCGGCTGACGTTCGTTCTCTTCTCTGTTTTTCCGCAGAAGAATGCTTCCTATTTGTTTCTTGCTTTTTATTTTAGCTGTCATCGGCCCCAATTCCCTGCCCCTTTTATTTCCTTGGCGCCCACAAAAACCACCCGATTCCAAACACTTTTCGCACAGAATCACGCTCCAAAGTGGCTGAGAAAATTGTTTACATATTAATATATACAACACCCGATCAATGCAATACACGCAAATTAGTAGGCAAGTAGATTTCTTAGAAAAGTATTGTTTACATTGCAACTCTTAATCGGCAATTGTTGGCTGCGTACTTAGCTTTGGAATGAGATCACAAGAAGCCAGGTTAGGCCAACTGTTATAGCCTTGGAATTTTAAATATAAATTTAACAAATTTTATTTTCGACACTGAATTTATAAATGACGAATGCATTTGAGCTAAACGCATTTATTAACAAATGGGAAAAATCATCCAATAGCCAAATAATGGCGATTGGGCATATTTATATCCTTGCAGATTATAATTATAATGCGGAATTATACTATCAGTCAAGAGCTTGCTTTTCTACAATTTTGACCAAGTAAGGTATCAGCATCAATAGATGTCCGTCCTTCTCATTAAGTTATTAATAAACAAGAAATAATTTCTGAAGTCTTTATACAATCATAATTTAAACGTTCCAGCATTTAAATACCCTATATGATATGACTCACTCTTGGAAGTTAACCTCTGTAATTTATTTGAACAATGACATTTAATCGAGATATAAAAGATATGAAGTCTTAAGTTTAGTGCTGATAAGGGATATATGTATATACTCCAATCTTCTACACTCATCGCATGCCTTTCAAGCAGTGGAAATAAAATCCAGTTCAGTCGATGATTCTCCCCCGAAACTTTTACATCAGCGGTTTTTTCGTTTATTGAATTTGATCGCCGAGCAAGTCAGTCTGTCTTTAGCTTCTTGGATATAAACATCTTCAATAGCAGTATACGAAGATATGGAATATTTCTGGACCTTAGCACTGCTCCTTCTGATATATAGTGTAGGATCCGCCCAGGTGGCAAATGGCTCTAAGGAATCAGTTATTGGATCATCCGGAGAACAACCACTTGTGTACGAAATGGCGAACTGCCATGCTCGTTGTGGCCAAGTATCCATTTCCGGCAGCTTTATAAACAAAGGTTGTGGATGCGTCGAGTCATGCCTTCTGAACGGCAATTGCTGCCTGAACTATATCAAGGAGTGCGTCCAAGGACAGGTCACAAATCCCTATAACAAGATGACCTTCTCCAGGTTTTGGAATCTTTGGAAGCAGGGCAGTGAGGTTGGCTATATACCCACATCAGCAACACCAAAAGCAAAAGCCACTCAAAAGATTACCTCACAATCAAACAAATAATGAATAAAAACATTTTATGGTACATTTATGATGATAAATACCATTAAAATCAATTTTTTGATTTCAATAACGATCAATTGCGATCCTTGATAGCAGCTTTCTGCAGTGGTTACTAAAGTCGGCAGTCACGATCTTTATAAATTACCAGAGAAAACTCCCCTAACCCATTGAAACCAATAATTTAAAAGGTTTTTAAAAAGTCCATTAGTTTACATGATCACCAAATAAAAGTTTCAGTGTGTCGATAACAGCGGGAAAAGTCCAGGCAACTTGATGGTATGATCCGAGTGCCGAAAACCGTACCTTCAAGTTGCCTGGACAGCTGATGGGCCCGATCTAGATCTTGGGCAATGCGATCCCGATCCCTTCTTAGATCTTGCCCTTCAGCGTTCGCGGGTTACCGATGCGTCCGCTGCTGGATCCCTGGGACAGCTGATTGATCCTGATCAGACTGGGTCGCTGGGAGCCAACGATGCCAGCCGAACCACCGCCACTACAAGGGATTCCCGCACCATTTGGATTCGTCATGGAGTAGATGTGCCGCCGGAGGACCCTTATGTGCTTTTGGGACACCTCGAAGTTGTGGACCAAGGTGTGAAGCTGCGTCTGGAGCTCAGCTATCAAGCTATCCCGCTCCTGGATCAGGCTGGAGGTGGAGTTCTGGCTCCTACTCAGTTTCAGCTCCAGGTCGTATATCCTTTTCTGCAGATCCCTGCGCTGCTTTTCGCTCTGCTCGCGATGGCGGGAAAGTTGCCTCTTACTGCTCACCTGGAGCTGCTCCAACTGGTCCTTCATTGTGGACAGCTCCTGGGTGAGTTTACGCTTTTCCGTCTTCAAAGCCGAATTGTAGTTCTTGAATATCTTGAGGTCCCTTTCGGCCGCCTTCAATCTGTTGACGGTGACCAGTTTTCTTCGCCCGAGATCATCGATCTTGACCTTCAGTTGCATGGCCTCCTGTTGGAGGGCATGAAGTTTATCCGCCAGCAGACAATTTTCCCGCATTACCTTCTCGTATTTGGAGTGCTCTTCCCGCATAATCTTGGGCAAGTGGGACACACTCTTCAGCTTGGTGTCTATCTTGGATCTCAGGCTGTCTATGTCGTGATATATGCTCGACTCCAGCTGCTTGTTGTTCACGTGCAGCTTCTCGATCTCGTGCTTCTGGGTGCTCATGATGTCCTGCGCCTTCACACAACGCGTGTGGTAGTCCGCAATCCTGTCCTGCTGCTGCCGGATGAGCGTCCGGAACTGCAGCTGCTCGCTCTTCAGGCTCTTGATGGTGGTCAGCAGTTGGCTCAGGTCCCCCGTGTCCCTATCTCTATCCCGATCCCGCTCATGCTTGTACTTGTGGTCCTGGTTAAGGAGAAAACGGAACTCTGTAAAACCAGTAGTAACAATCTTAAGGGGTTCTCAGAAATTATAAGCAACTAAAATTAAAAAGAAGAAGGAACGCTATAGACGACTGTCACGATTATTTAGTCGATATCCAATTTAAAACATAAAACATGAAAAATTTAATCAACGGTAAAATGAAAATTTTGAATTCAGATTTTTAGAGGAAGAAACCACAAGTCTTTAGAGGTATGCCACTTTGAAATCGGATTCAATTTATTAAAGTTATGGACTCTGGAAGTCCAATTGGGGGACACCTCATTTCAAGTCATTGGAAACTTGGAAATAACTAACATGAAAATGCGTCAAAAATTTGATCAACGGTAAAATGAAAATTTTGAATGCAGATTTTCAAAAATTTGATCAACGGTAAAATGAAAACTTTTAATGCAGATTTTTAGAGGATGAAACCACAAGAGAGGTATGCCACTTTGAAATCGTGTAAAATTTGGTAAAGTTATGGACTCTGGAAGTCCAATTGGGGGACACCTCATTACAAGTCATGGGAAACTTGGAAATAACTAACATGAAAATGGGTCAAAAATTTTATCAACGGTAAAATGCAAATTTTGAATGCAGATTTTTAGAGGATGAAACCACAAGTCTTTAGAGGTATGTCACTTTGAAATCGGATTAAATTTGGTAAAGTTATGGACTCTGGAAGTCCAATTGGGGGACACCTCATTACAAGTCATGGGAAACTTGGAAATAACTAACATGAAAATGGGTCAAAAAGTTGATCAACGGTAAAATGAAAATTTTTAATACAGATTTTTAGAGGATGAAACCACAAGTCTTTAGAGGTATGCCACATTGAAATTGGATTAAATTTGGTAAAGTTATGGACTCTGGAAGTCCAATTGGGGGACACCTCATTACAAGTCATGGGAAACTTGGAAATAACTAACATGAAAATGGGTCAAAAATTTGATCAACGGTAAAATGAAAATTTTGAATGCAGATTTTTAGAGGATGAAACCACAAGTCTTTAGAGGTATGCCACTTTGAAATCGGATTAAATTTGGTAAAGTTATGGACTCTGGTAGTCCAATTGGGGGACACCTCATTACAAGTCATGGGAAACTTGGAAATAACTAACATGAAAATGGGTCAAAAATTTTATCAACGGTAAAATGAAAATTTTTAATACAGATTTTTAGAGGATGAAACCACAAGTCTTTAGAGGTATGCCACTTTGAAATCGGATTAAATTTGGTAAAGTTATGGACTCTGGTAGTCCAATTGGGGGACACCTCATTACAAGTCATGGGAAACTTGGAAATAACTAACATGAAAATGGGTCAAAAATTTGATCAACGGTAAAATGAAAATTTTGAATGCAGATTTTTAGAGGATGAAACCACAAGTCTTTAGAGGTATGCCACATTGAAATCGGATTAAATTTGGTAAAGTTATGGACTCTGGAAGTCCAATTGGGGACACCTCATTACAAGTCATTGGAAACTTGGAAATAACTAACATGAAAATGGGTCAAAAATTTGATCAACGGTAAAATGAAAATTTTGAATGCAGATTTTTAGAGGATGAAACCACAAGTCTTTAGAGGTATGCCACTTTGAAATCGGATTAAATTTGGTAAAGTTATGGACTCTGGAAGATCAATTGGGGGACACCTCATTTCAAGTCATTGGAAACTTGGAAATAACTAACATGAAAATGCGTCAAAAATTTGATCAACGGTAAAATGAAAATTTTGAATGCAGATTTTCAAAAATTTGATCAACGGTAAAATGAAAATTTTTAATGCAGATTTTTAGAGGATGAAACCACAAGAGAGGTATGCCACTTTGAAATCGGATTCAATTTATTAAAGTTATGGACTCTGGAAGTCCAATTGGGGGACACCTCATTACAAGTCATTGGAAAGTTGGAAATAACATCTATGCAGATTTTACAAGTCATCGGAAAAACACTTCTGATAATTTATAAGTGTATAACATAATATTTTACCATTACCAAATCCTACCTGTGAGGTGTTGATCACGTCCTTCAGCACATTGTAGACGTCCTTGAAGGAGGCGGGCTCCCTCTCCCGGTCGTCCTGCTCCAAGGATCTCTTTCTGCGCTTGGCGTGTCGGCTGGCCAGTGTTTCCACAATACGGCTGTCGAAGACACTGTTAACCTGCGACGAGAGATGGCCCTCATTTCGGTGATCCTTCGACTGACGATTACTCCTTTCGGATGAGTACTTTTTCCGGGTGGGTTCGCCACTGGAACTTCGGGCTGACAGGACGGTCATGAAACTGGTGTTGCTGCGCAGGATTTGGGGACTCTTTCGCTTGATCGTCATTTGCGAGGCCACACTGCTGGCGGAACTGTAGAAATTATCCTGATCGGCCTCACTTTCCATATCCATTTCTGAAGATTGTCCCCGGCTGGTCACAAAATGATTGTGCTTCTGCTGCATTTCGTTGAGCTCGTAATTGATTTTCATATACTTTTCCTCCAGATCCTTGGTGGTTTCATTGTATTCCTTGAGCTCCTGCTTATACTTGCTGAGTTCGTCCTTCAATTTGTTCCCAATGGCATCCGAATTGGGCGGACTTTTTAATCTCCTATCCGAGTCGTGATTCGATCGATAACCCTGGTTATCTGGTTCTGGCTCACCATCACTCATCATAAGATCAACCTTACCTTCCTTGTTTCCGTGCTTGGGAAATTTCAATACACTGGGATTGGAGTGATCCCTGAAACCTAAGCTGCTGGCACTCATCGTGTCCTGGATATTGACATAGCTACTCTTCTCATCCGGCTGTTCCTCGCTCTTCTCCTCCAATTCGAAGTCCTCTCCCATCGAGGCTTTTTCCAGGATCTGGTTGCGGTTGTGATCCTCGATTTTTGCACAATTCTGCGGACGGAATCCAAGTGTGCGTTGTCTTGTAGCTAGTGACCCCTTGGATGGCTTTAACATCTACGAAAATTTTGCCTATTAGGTTTATAATACACTTGTGTAATTTTTTGCACTGTTTTTGGCCAACAGAGAATTTTTTTTTAAACGTTATGACACATTCGATTCCCAAAAAAAGATAATAATTTTTACGTGAGACGTTACGAAAATTATTTGATAGAAAATATAACGTTACGCCTACTCGAAAGGTATACTTCTAATTCGTGGAAGTAAGAACGGCTTAGGAGGACAAACATCTTTAAAATATAACTCTAAGCCTTAAATATAAAATGGGTTGAAAATTATTTAATATAATATCAAATAAATTCTGATTCACGTAAACAGATAGTTTCTCTGACAATTTTATAATTTTAATAAATTTTCCATATTTATTTCCCGTTTTTCGATCCGAACTATAGTTTGAAAGTGAGGACTTCTATAAATTTTATTAAAACAAGTAATTATGGGTAAATTTATTTATAAAAAAAATTAATTGTCTTCAAAATTGACTGCGTTTTGATTTTAACCCAACTCAAAGTATTAGATATAATGGTTTGTTTCGCAGAAAAATGTGTGTTGATTCAAGTTTCTTCTTCGGGTAATTTTCTGGACCCTTCTTGGAGCGTGGATTTCTCGAGAAGCTGCCCGCCACGTGGACGTAGCAGCTCTGGCCCAACCCAGTGCCCTGGGATCTTTCGTTCGCCTCTACAAAGTCCGAGCAGGCCATTCCAAATCTGTTGCCAACTGCCCAGGCCGAGTGTCCGAGGGTCTTTCAGTTCATTTTATTCGTTAACGAAGAAAACAACTGATTCGATCTGAAACTTTTTCGAAATTTTCTCTTTCAGACTATGTGTTAAATTTTACCAGATTTAGAAGTAGCTCAAAATCGTTAGTAGTTCTAACTGGATAAAAAGCAAAAAAAAAAAATAATTAACTCCAGACGGATAGATAGACTTACTTCTATTTTTTGGTTGAATCGGTAACTGAATTTGAGGCGCGATGGCGGAAAACACGGAGTACACGGATGAGGGGGGCGAGTACGAGGACGATGAGAACCAGTTCATCACCGAGCAGCACATGATGGAGGAGGGTCCCGACGAGGACCTCTTCTCGAAGCTGGGCGAGTCCTCGGACGATCCGGAGCAGAAGCGCATGTACATGGAGTACCTGGCGCTGATCAAGGAGATCGACTGCCAGAACAAGATCATCCAGGACATCAAGACCAACATAATGGACATGTGCGCCAAGCCCTGCAAGACGCGTAACGAGCTGAGGGAGATCAAGCGGCTGAGGATCTGCATGGAGCAGGAGAACATCAAGCTGCACACCATGATGAACCGGGCCGTGCAGCTGCAGAACTTCGGCTCCCACCGGCACTACAAGGAGCTGCCGATGACCACCACCGTGGACGAGGACAACCTGTCGCCGTACATGTGCGGCATAGGACCCTGTCCGCCGGCTGGCAGTGCCACGGATCCCTGCAGCGACGAGCCCAGCTCCTGTGCCAGTGTCTGTGGAGGAGGAGGTCAGCGGGATTCGGCCGGACAGGACGATAAGCTTATCTGCGCACTGCAAAAGGCCATGCAGAAGATGAAGGGCGCCTGCCCGGAGGACAAGAAGATGATCGAGGAGATCGCCTGCGCCATCATGAGCTGCAAGAAGCCGCCCGTCTGCGTCCCAGGACCCTGTCCCAAGCCCTGCCCCCCGCCCTGCCAAGGTCCCTGCCCGCCTCCGTGTCCGGAGAGCAGCAGCAGCAGCATCGGACCGCCCTGTCAGCCTTGTCCTCCTAAAAGGAAGCCCCAGAAGCCATGCCCCATGCCACAAGCCCCTGGAAAATGCGAGTCCATGGAGAGGCTGAAGCGACGCATCCAGAGCATGCAGTCTTCGGTGAAGAAGCTGCTCCAGGAGGTGAGCAACCGGGATGGTCCGGAGCCCTGCGGCGGAGACTTCGACGACGATGACGACGAGGAGGAGGATGCGGGTCCGTGCTCCAGGCCCTGCCCGCCCAGGCCCCCGTGCCCCGAGGATCCCGATCCGCTGGTCATCTGCGGCGGAAAGCGGAACACCAAGGCCGACAAGTACGAGAAGATGAAGGAGAACTACACCAGGCTGTTGACAGAGTTTCAGCGCAAGGACTGCCAGATGAAGGAGCTGCAGAAGCGGATGAAGGGCATCTGCGGTCCCTGCCCATCAAAAGGAGGCGACGGGGACGCCGATGCCGCGGAACTGAATCTGCTTCGCGCCCGGGTCAACGAACTCAAGGAGGAGCAGCTGGAGTTCAAGTGCATCATGAAGGAGCAGTCGCAGCAGCTGGAGGATTACCGCAACAAGTATCTGCTGGCCCAGCAAAAGGTCGAGGAGCAGTGCGTGTCCCTGGAGAAACTGAACATGAACAACAAACGCATTGAGCAGCAGATCAATACGGAGGTCAAGGAAATCCGGGCCAAGTTCCAGGAGAAGCTCAACGAGCTGCTTCACTTCCCCAAGCTGCTGGAGAACGAGCAACTGAAGTTGGCCCAGGTTTGCAAGGAGAAGGACGAGATGCAGACGAAGCTGGTGGTCGTCTGCAAGGAGCTGAAGGCCTGCAAGGCCCAGTTGGAGCAGCCCAGCATCGATGTGCGTCCCCAGTTGGCCCAGTGCCAAATGGAACTGACCCAGGCCAGGAACGAACTGGAGGAGCTGCTGCGCCAGCGGGATCTCTTCTGCGAACAGCTCAAGTCCACCCAAGACGATCTGGACACGCTGCGCACCGAATCCGCCAAGATCATAGCCGGCACCAAGGAACGCGCCGAGTTGATCAAGTCCCAGCAGCAGGAGCAGATCAATCGGCTGGAGAAGGAGTTGGCCCAGTGCCGAGCCACTGCCTCGCTGTCCGTCAACGATCGCGAGGCTGTGATCAGGGAGATGCAGGGCCAACTGAACACCCTGTCCTACAGCTTCGATGCCGCGCAGAAACAGATCAAAACTCTACGCAATCACATCGCCTATGTGTCCAATGAGAATTGCTTCCCCGTCAAGTGCTAAAAGTGTATCGAATCCTCGAGAGACATTAAACGCACCGACGTGTCAGTGAAAGTTGTTACATTCGTTAGTTAACCATTCATTTAAAATTTTATGTAATCTAAATCTCAGTCGACCTAATAAATATTAGTTTTCTTTCGGCCAACTACTATTTTACTATTTTTCCGATTTCGCTTAGTAGTTTTGTGGAGAGAATGAAATGAATTCACACATTACGAGGCTGTTTCTCGTTACGAAATGCTTGTACTACAATGGATTATACTTATCTGTTATCAGCACTTGGGTACGGCAGATAGGGGTTTATGTTTTGGCGCTCCATAGGAAACAAATAGATATTGCTTTATTCTGGCATTTGAGAGAAACAACTACAAATGGTCGGTTCGTGTACGTTAAGGAGCTCTCCTTGCGGCTAATGGCACACTAGAGACAAATCTACAGGGACTTGACCGCCAGTCTCTTCATCTTGGGCGCGTTCCTCTTGGCCTGGCGCTTCTGCTCCTTTGCCTCCCAGCGGCGCTGCTTCTCCGGATCTTCGTCGGCCAGGATGCGCTCCTTCTCCTGCTTGCGCTTGTCCTCGCGACGCTGAGCCGCGGCCTCAGCGCGGGCGGCATGTGTGCTCTTCAAGAACTCCTCCTCGACGCGCTGGCGATTCTTGTCCGACTTGGCTTTGCCCTGTAAATTTAATAATAAATTAATAATATGTCGGAACGTCACCAAAAATATAAGTACCTCCTTAGACATGCGGTAGGTCTTCAGGCGCTCCATCAAATAAAAGATCAACAATAACAACGGCTTAATGGTCTCCATTTCGGCGTGCTTCGGCAGATTGAAGCCGGCGAGGAGCACGGCCTTGGTCTCGGGCTGCTTAAGGGTGCCGCCCTCCTCCTGCTGGATGGGGCCACTGAACTGGTCCGAGATGTGCAGGTAATCGATATAGCTTTGGTACTTATTAAGTGCAGTGATAACGCGTGACTCGAGGATGGCGGACGTGGCCTCCGGGACTTCGGAGAGCACGCCAAATCCGGTGGGCACATTGTAGCGATCCTCCGGTTTGCCGACTAGACTACAGAACTTGCTCTGCGGCAAATAAACGGGTTGAATGTCAATTATAGGTATGCATATTTATATTAGAGAGCCTTACCAGATCTGTATACTCTTTGAAGACCTTGGTGATGGTCTTTTTAGTACCGACTGCAAATACAAATGCATCCATTACGCCGCGTGTGAGTTCAATTTTGATGTGGGCCTGATCCAGCTGTGGGCGCATCAATCCCGCCACCAAGGAGACCAGATCCTGCCGCTTGATCATCTTCAGCTCGACGAGCATGCCCTCGCAGCAGGTCCTGCCGGAGCACCAGAGGGTGTAGAGACTCTCGCTCTCCTTGATCAGTCCTGGATTCTCGTTCTCCGCCTTACCGTCGTCTCCGACCAAGGCGAAGTTCTCATCGAGCAGGGCTCTGTGGGTACTGAACCAAAGCTGCGCTAAACGCGCATTCTTGGCTTTTCCCGCAAAGAAGTTGGCAAAGTAGGCCAACAACCCGGCCACCATGAGCATCTCCATCCAGTAGGAGTCCCAGTGGGTGCGGAAATGGAGGGGTATGTTGGGTATGTTGAGTTTGGGCTCAACTTTCTGATCGATGGGAGGGTCCTTAGAGTCCCCGCCATCGTAGCCCTCGAACTCTTCCTCGTCCTGAAAATACATTTGAGTGGTTAATAAACTATTTATAAACGAAAATGCTTGATTGAGTAAGATTGGTATACTTTTTAGAAATATGGAAATGTATCCATAAAATATATGTTTCATTTGTCTTAATGGAGAAATTCTGGTTTTCACAGTACAAAGTTCAACTTCTTAATTAAAACATGTGGGCACAGTCAAACTTTTTCAACATCAACTGATATCTAGTTACATAAGTAAGTGGAATTTGTTATAACTTTTACATACCTATGGTGACATTGAGTTATAAATAATTAAGAAGTTGTATGTACAAAAAGATATAAATAACTTTTGGCCATTGAAGAGAAAGTGAAAACCATGTTTTAATTTGTAAATGGTTAAAAATTAATTACAACCGCACCCCTCCCCCTTAAAACGAAAGAGTCTAGGAAGGGCACACAAGTCGAAGCCAACTTAACAGAATTAATAATTAATGAAGCATTTGAATGGGTAAGTCGAGCACTTGATCAAAGTTCTTAACCCCTGCCACCCCATTAAAAATCGAACACCTGTCTTTGTTTACCTGGAAGTGCTCAAACTCGTCATCATCTTCCACAATTCCATCCTCCTCCTCGCTCTCCACGTTTTGTACTGGTTTGCGGGTTTCCTTTGGGCGATCCTGGGACTCGATCCTTTCTGCTCCGCCGGAGAAGGAGTCCGCATTTTTGGCCGCTGGCTCAGCGTAAAAATTGCCATCGTCGAACTCGGCAAAATCACCATCGTCTTCCTCAAAGTCGGTCTCCTCCGATTTTGTGCTCGCAAAGCAGAGGAGCGCCAGTAGCAGGAAGGCAAATACTGGTCGCATTTTGGGGGGATTGCGTTGGCGCTAACTGGTCGGCTTACTTAAGTTATAATTTATCTAAATGTCCTAAAACTTTTCACATTAATAAAGAAAAAAAAACTAGGTTAAATTAGAAGTGTGGCCGCCGCTCGACCGTTAAAATATACCGCCCGGCAAAAAAAAAATACTAACAGATATTGGCGCGAATTTAATTGGGGGATTCTCCAAGCCATTGACTAACTAAACATTTAACGGATATTTTCAGAGCTTGAGGGAACGACACACCTTTAATAATATACATTTTTAGTCCGGTTGAAGGCCAGTTTAGCATCCAACGTAGAAATGGTAATAATTGAATGTTTAATCACTGGAATCGAACTAATAGTGTGACGACGGTATTAGCTAAGATTTAATAAATACTAAAAAGCTTTAGGGTATTATTGAAACAATAAATTAACCTCGGTAACACTTGCAAAGGTAAACACGTTGCAGTGCGAAACTTATTTTATTTTTTGTAAGGGCTGCGATTTGAATAAAAGAATTGTTCTAAACAATTACGAGTAATCGCAACGAATCAGCAATGGTGAGTACTTATAGGAAAAGTGCATCCCGCGTCGTTCGATGATTCACCGAAATTGCCACGAACACATGCCGGCTGATGCAATTTTCCGCAGAATGACTGCGTTTCAAATGCATTTATGTAAATACACACGTTAATATTCGAAATTTGAACAGGCCACAAGCGAACGGAAAGGCACCTTTAAGGTGGAATACCTGCAGAAGATCGAGCAGGAAGTGCAGCAGCGATGGGAAACCGAGCGGGTGCACGAGTCGGATGCGCCAACGGCGCCCAAAAAGCGGCAGGCGGAAAAGTTCTTCGTGACCTTTCCCTTTCCCTACATGAATGGACGCCTCCATCTGGGTCACACCTTCTCGCTGTCCAAGGCGGAGTATTCCGTGAGGTATCACCGCCTGAAGGGACGTCGTGTTCTCTGGCCCTTTGGGTTTCACTGCACGGGCATGCCCATCAAGGCCTGTGCCGATAAGTTAACCCGCGAACTGGAGCAGTTCGGCTATCCCCCCAAGTTCCCCGAGAACCAAGAAGTAGCTCCTGCTCCCGCCGAAACCGCATCCGAGGTCCCCAAGGACAAGTCAAAGGGAAAGAAGAGCAAGGCGGTGGCCAAGACCGGTGCCGCCAAATACCAATGGCAAATCATGCAGAGTCTCGGCCTCAAGGACGACGAAATCAAGGACTTCGCCAATGCAGAACACTGGCTCAACTACTTCCCACCGCTGGCGGTGCAGGATCTCAAGAGGATAGGCGTGCACGTCGATTGGAGACGCACTTTCATCACCACCGACGCCAATCCCTATTTCGACTCTTTTGTGCGCTGGCAGTTCAATCACCTCAAGGAGCGTGGCAAGATCATGTACGGCAAGAGATATACCATTTACTCGCCCAAGGATGGACAGCCCTGCATGGACCACGATCGCTCCTCCGGCGAGGGAGTGGGTCCTCAGGAATACACGCTGATCAAGATGAAGGTTCTGGAGGCGCCCAAGGCTTTAAGGTACGTGATTGATTTTTACAACGATATGACTTTGTTTCCAACTATAAATTTAAAATGTCTTTTCTCATTCCATTTATATTAGCTCCATCAAGCAGACCATTTACATGGTGGCCGCCACTCTGCGTCCGGAGACCATGTATGGCCAGACCAACTGCTGGCTGCATCCGGACAACAAGTACATCGCCTGGCAAACCAGCAAAAATAACGAAGTGTGGATAAGCACACGTCGAGCAGCCAGAAATATGGCTTACCAGGGTTTCACAGCCGAAGAAGGTGATGTCAAGGTTCTGGCTGAAGTAACTGGCCAAGATCTTCTTGGAGTTCCCCTCTCGGCTCCTCTGACCCAACACAAAATCGTCTACACCCTGCCAATGCTAAGCATCAAGGAAGATAAGGGAACTGGAGTGGTCACTTCTGTGCCCTCCGATTCCCCCGATGATTATGCCGCTCTGGTGGATCTTCAAAAGAAGGAGGCATTCCGCCAGAAATACGGACTGAAGGATGAGATGGTGCTGCCCTATGAGCCCATTCCCATCATCGAAGTGCCGACCCTAGGCAAACTTAGTGCCGTCCATGCCTACGAAACCCTCAAGATCCAATCACAGAACGATAAGGATAAGTTAGCCGAAGCTAAGGAAATGTGCTACCTCAAGAGTAAGTGTGGTAAAATAATGTCTCAGGAGTTTTTTTACAGAAAATTTCTTTCTTTCCCAAAGGTTTCTATGACGGCGTTATGTTGGTGGGCGAATTTGCCGGCCGCAAGATTCAGGATGTGAAAAAGGATCTGCAGAAGCGTTTGGTCGATGCTAATGAGGCGGACGTTTACTACGAACCGGAGAAGACTATTATGTCACGTTCTGCTGATGAGTGCGTGGTGGCCCTGTGCAACCAGTGGTACCTTAATTATGGTGAGCCAGTGTGGCAGGCCCAGGCCACCAAGATTCTGCAGGACATGGAGACCTTCCACGATGAGGCGCGCAACAACTTCGAAGCCTGTTTGAACTGGCTGCACGAGTACGCATGCTCCAGGACCTACGGCCTAGGAACCAAACTGCCTTGGGATGATAAGTGGCTGATTGAGTCCCTCTCGGATTCCACCATCTACATGGCCTTCTACACGGTTGTACACTTGCTGCAGGGCGGCACTTTCCGCGGTGAAAAGCCAGGACCTTTTGGTAAGTCGAATTTTTACCAACATAATTGTGGAATTTAATTATTTGTGTTCTCCTTTACAGGCATCAAACCGTCCGACATGACCGCTGAGATCTGGGACTACATCTTCTTCAAGGAAACCCCACTGCCAAAAAAGACGGCCATTAAACAGGAATATCTTGCTGTTTTGCGTCGCGAATTCGAATACTGGTATCCGATGGATCTGCGCGTCTCTGGCAAGGATCTCATCCAGAACCACTTGACCTTCTGTCTGTACAATCATGCAGCCATTTGGCCAAATGACGAGACCAAGTGGCCCAAAGGAATGCGTGTAAATGGTCACCTGTTGCTCAATTCTTCAAAGATGTCCAAATCTGATGGAAACTTCCTTACCCTAACCGAAGCTGTGGACAAATTCTCAGCCGATGGAATGCGCCTTTGTTTGGCTGACGCTGGCGACAGCGTGGAGGATGCAAATTTTGTGGAGAGCACTGCTGATGCAGGCATCCTGCGTCTGTACACTTTCATTGAGTGGGTAAAGGAGATGCTAGATAACAAGTGCAGTTTGAGAAAGGGTTCAGATAAGACCTTCAATGATAAGGTATTCCTGAGCGAGCTCAATTTGAAAACCCAACAAACGGACGAGAATTACCGGAAGATGTTGTTCAAGGAGGCTTTGAGAAGTGGCTTTTACGAACTCCAGTTGGCCAGGGATAAGTACAGTCAGCTGTGTGGAGCCCAAGGAATGCACGAGGATCTGGTGCTTGAGTTTATCCGCAGGCAAGCTCTGTTAGTATCTCCGATTTGTCCACATATGGCGGAGCACGTTTGGGGACTGCTGGGTAACAACGAGTCCATTGTTCATGCTCGTTGGCCTGAAGTTGGAGACATCAACGAAGTAGATATCCTGTGCTCGGAGTATCTCATGGAAGCGGCACACTCGTTCCGTTTGAACCTGAAGAACTTGCTGCAATTTAAGGGCAAGGCTGGAAAAGATAAATCTGCGGATGTCCAAACAGCGAAACCGAATAGAGGACTTATCTGGGTGGCTAAGACTTATCCTCCCTGGCAGTGCTGTGTCCTGGATACCATGAAGGAGTTGTTCAACAAATCCCAAGCCCTGCCGGATAACAAAGTCATCGCTGCTACACTGCAACAAAAGGCTGAATTGAAGAAGTTTATGAAACGCGTAATGCCCTTCGCCCAGATGATTCGCGAGAAGGTGGAATCTGGCAAGGGGGTGGCTGCTTTGGCCGTCACATTGGAGTTCGACGAGCGCCAGGTGCTGATCAGTAATCTGGAGTATCTGAAAAACACACTGGATGTGAGTAACTCATAATTTTTAAATCGTTTCCATCCAATCAACTGTCCATTATTTTTAGCTCGACGTCTTGGAAATTAAGTATACCGATGATTCCTCTGCGCCGGAGAAAACTCGTGAGGAAGTACGTCCTGGGTCGCCCTTCATCAGTTTCTCAGTGGCACCCAATGTGAGCGTGGAGCTGACGAATCCCATCGAGCGCTCCTCGTTCTTCCAGGTCAACACCGTCATTTCTGAAGGCGACACCGTGCAGTCACTCCGCGAGAAGCTATCCAAGATCATTGGTCTCAAGACTGACACGGCTAACCTTAAGATCTGGTCTTATAACGATCCCCTTCTGGGCCCCAGGAAGATACCCAACTTTGAGGACTACAAAGCGGGAAAGTCTTTGCTCGGCGAGGGCAACTTTATCCTGGATGTGGCGACTAAGAAAGTGAGCCTGGAGCAGGCCGGAAAATTGACGGAAGTGGGGAGAAATCTGATATACGTGGTGGATTGAATCGAAAAGCATCACAAGCTTTAATAATTTATTCATAAAATGAAACTGAAACCTTGTAAAACAAATCCTTGGCTATTAATGTACTGTGAGACGTTTGTGCCCTATCAAAGAAATGAAAATTAAACTTACAAAAGTAATTGTATCAAATGTATTTCTAATTTAAAACCTTGTACAGAAAACCATTACATGCGGTACTAAAAGTGTCCCACTTTATTGTTTTTATATATCAAGTGTAAGTGAAAGTGTTTCCAATGCCACCGCTGAAATAAATGTCTTTCAGCTGGTTAAGTATGTCAGTTGGCAGATAAGCTGAACAGTTGTTTCTCAGCGGGTCTTCTGCCCAATGGGTGGCTATCACTAATCCAAGAAAAGAAGAATGAAGTGCAAAGAATACCTATATAAGGCTTTGCTCTGCTTCGAGCCATGGTACCATTTGATTTTTGTTGCATAACCATGTTGGCTCTTCGCTTGATTCTACTGCTGCAGTGCAGCCTGTTGGTTCTTGCAGGCGTTTGTTTGATACCACAGCCCATAAAAAGGCAGCGCTCGCTAAAGGATATACTGGAAAAACCGTGGACATTATCACCTCGCTTGGATGGACGTATCGTGGGCGGTCATCGCATTAACATCACCGATGCACCTCATCAGGTTTCCCTGCAGACTTCGTCTCACATTTGCGGAGGCTCATTGATATCGGAGGAGTGGGTATTGACAGCCGCCCATTGCACTTAGTAAGTTGAATTCTCAAAGTATTATTTTATATAAGCTATATTAAAATTAACATCCTGCTAAATTAATAGTGGCAAAACAGCAGATCGTTTGAAAATACGTTTGGGAACCAGTGAATTTGCTCGCAGTGGACAACTGCTCAGGGTTCAGAAAATCGTTCAACACTCCCAGTTCAACTACACCAATGTGGACTACGACTTCTCCCTGCTCCAGCTTGCGCATCCCATCAAGTTCGATGAGACCAAAAAGGCCATTAAGCTGCCCGAGTCGCAGATGAAGTTCATGGACGGGGAGACCTGTTTTGTGAGTGGTTGGGGGAATACCCAAAACCTGCTGGAGTCCAGGGAGTGGCTGCGTCAGGTGGAGGTGCCTCTGGTTAATCAGGAGGTGTGCAGTGAGAAGTACAAGCAGTACGGCGGTGTCACCGAGCGAATGATCTGTGCCGGTTTCCTGGAAGGCGGCAAGGACGCCTGCCAAGGTGATTCCGGTGGTCCGATGGTCAGCGAGTCGGGTGAACTGGTGGGCGTGGTGAGCTGGGGCTATGGCTGTGCTAAGCCCGATTATCCGGGTGTCTACTCCCGAGTAAGCTTCGCCCGGGATTGGATTAGGGAGCACAGTGGTGTATGAATATGTCACCCAAAAGAAACGTAGTTTGGCCAAACAATAAAAACAAATTTATTTGTCTATAAATATTAAGTAACTGCTGTTTATTTATTTCTTAATTTTCTACTGATTCTAACGGCCTAAAGATTATTAATTTAAAGTAAAAGGGATGCAAAATTATTTTATATATTTGTGCAAAATTGTTATCTTCATAAACTTTTGATAAATACAACGACGTTATGCCACTTTTTCCAGATTTTTGAAAACCAAATTTGTTACATATCACAGTTCTCTCCCGAATGGCTGAAAGTTAAACAAAGTATAAAAGACAGGTTCAAAAATCCGCAAGAGGTTATCTACAGCTTACCGCAGATAACCTAATGTGGATCGCAAGTACGAGATTAAGATTCCCACACCCGAATTGAGAGAAGTGTCCCGAAATATATTTTAGAGTTCTCCCGACCGACTGAAAACAATACAAATACATAATTAATAAGCGCTGACAGGGACGTATAAATAAACGAAATTGAGCCACAGTATTTCAGTTGCATTCGTAAACTGATCTTTTTAGCTCTTACCGTTTTGAAAATCAAAAATGTTAAAGCTTAAATTAGCATTGTTCTCTTTGCTAATGGCTGGAGGTGGTTCTGGATCTCAGGCATTTCCCCAGAAAAGTGCTGGTTCTGGAAGTCAACCGGACCACATTTCAAGGATGAAAACAAAGATGGACTACATTGTCGTCAACCAGGTCACCCTTGCCGAACAGAACCGGACAAACATCCAGCTGGCAGCCCTGCAACAAGTTGTAACCATTGATAAGAGTTCACAGGAGTCCAAGGATGTCCGACTAGACAGGATGTACGACCAGCAGATCAAGTTTCAAAAATATTTATATTCTCATATGGAAGTTCAGCAGAAACACTTTGACGAGATATTTGACAGGATTCATGAGCAGTTGAAAGCGGTGCTAAATAAGTTGGAAGGCATTTTAGCAAACAGCACTGGAGCCAAAGCCAGTGCGGTGGAAAGCATTCCTATTCCCCCGAAGTTCGAGCTGATCGGATCCAGGTATTTTTATATCGAAGACAAAGTTCAGCAAGATTTTGAAACTGCTGCCAGTACCTGTATCCAAATGGGTGGGTATCTGGCCTCCATTAAGGACGAAGAGGAGCTAAACCTAATCCGCATGAAACTCAGGAAAAAAGAGGGCTACTGGCTGGGCACCAACGATCACAAAGAAAAGGGCAGTTTTGTGTCCTTGGCCTCCAGAAAACCAGCCTTTGTAAAATGGGCCAGGGGAGAGCCCTTAGACTTTTTCCCAACTAACTGCATTGAATTATTTTACAGCAGAGATGTGGAAAACATGATGCTGATGGATTGTGATTCGGAAAGATACTTTATTTGCCAGGCTGATAAAGAAATTTAATAGAACAAATTAAATGTTTGTATACAAATTAAAAAACTAAAACATTTTCAATAAAAAAATAAAAAAAATGTATGTGTAACTTTCCATTTAATATAAACATTAGACTATGGCGACACATTAATTAGGACTAAAATTACAATAGGATCACAATCAAAGTAAATAGGAAATTCAATATTTTATTCTCTGCAAGAGTACACAAATAAATAAATAAGTAAGTGATAAGCATCACATCTCGGTGTGGCTTATCACTTTGGCAATTTTTGAGAATCGCCAGAGCCAAAGACATCAAACTAAATCCAATCAGTTGCCACTGTCATTCCCTCGCAGAATGTTCACGTTCGGAAATTTTATTCTGTTCGCCTTACTAGTCTTGGACCATCGCGGATATGCTGTGCCTCAGGAGGTCCATCAATCCGTGTGCCTACTCTCGGATGCCCCACACCAATGCGGGGCTTTTACCCTCTCCGCATTGGGGCCCCTGTTCGACGACATGGATGAGTTGAAGATTAGACTAAGTGAATCGAAAATACAAGCAGTACAAGAGAGGGTGGAAAACAGTATAAGAAAAGTCGTGGAAACTGAAATGCAAGCAGTAAAAAACAGGATTCAAGCCCTGGAGGGAACCCTGCTATCGGTTTCAAAGAAGTTTGAAGATCAATTACAATCGAGTTTGGACAGGATGCAAGACCAACTGAAAGCAGTACAGAATAAACAGGAGCGAGACTCAGATACTGGACTAAAAATCATTCCCCCAAAGTTTGAGCTGATCGGATCCAGGTATTTTTATATCGAAGACAAAGTTCAGCAAGATTTTGAAACTGCTGCCAGTACCTGTCGCCAAATGGGTGGGTATCTGGCCTCCATTAAGGACGAAGAGGAGCTAAACCTTATCCGCATGAAATTCAAGCCAGATGTTGCCTATTGGCTGGGCACCAACGATCACAAAAAAAAGGGCAGTTTTGTGTCCTTGGCCTCCGGTAAACCAGCCTTTGTAAAGTGGGGAGACAGAGAGCCCTTATACCATTACGAAACTAACTGCATTCAATTATATTACAATAGCGATCTGGGAAAAATGATGCTGATGTATTGTAATTGGAAGAGATTCTTTATTTGCCAAGCTGATAATGAAATTTAATAATAAATTTAGCAAGTAATCTCATCACTTGAACAAATTAAATTTTTGTATACAAATTAAAATAATAAATAAACATTAAATATCATTTTTGTAGACTATGGCTACACATATATTATGACTCTAATGACAACAAAAATCTGTTGATCACAATCAAATCAAAGAGGGAATTCAGTATTTTTCTGTTATGTGTATATTTGGAATCACAGATCAACAATCGAGTAAACAGCTATTGCGCTTAAATCATTTCATAATCGGCTGTTCGGATACTAAGATTTGCACACGTTGCCGGCGCACAGTCAACTTGCAAGACACGCGACCCTCCTGCTTTCTGCACACTTTGCTGCGCATGTCGCGTTGCTCGAAATGAGTCTAGTTGGCCACGTTAAAAGGATGCCAGTCCCTGCACGAGTCCTGCGACTTTTGGATGGGGGAGCCAGCACTGCATTCAGATGCCCTGGCATCAGCCAGAAATCACCGCCGTTGTGTTAAATGCGGCGTATACGCAATTACTCGCATTACGTATACGTCTGGTGAACTTATTACTTATATAGCCTTGGCATTGACAAAGCTTTTTACTGGAAAGTTTGAGCTGATCAGTTGAAGTGGGCCAATAATTATGATGTTATAATGGTTTTGTTTCGTCACTTTTGCTTTTAATTTGTTGCATGTTAAATAAATGTCTGAGTCAGCTAATGTGTCCTATAATAATTGATTGCCTAACATAAAGTTGGCAAAGGGAATGCGTCGAATACTAAGAAAATAGATGCTTATAATAATCCCTTCGCGAAGTCTCTCTAATTTATTTAATAATCTGAAAAAGAAAGGCATGAAATTTTTCATATAATGTATAATTGTCCAAATTAATAGAGACTTATCAATTTTAAAAGCAATATGTGTTGTGTTGTGTTGTGTGGGTAGATAAGCTTATTTTTCATATAATGTATAACTTTATTTCTAGGTAATTATATTTAGCTTTTGGAAATATTAAAATATTTGACTGTTGCTAAGGAGATTGGAAAAAACCACTGCGGAATTCAATTGTCTGTCCCTTAAACAATATGTTGAATAACATTCTGACCAAGTCAAATGGCCTTTATTCTGACTTTGTAACTTGAGAGTGCCAGCGATTCATTCTTAGTGCCTCTGGCTGAGCACAAGTACGACCCAAACTACTGTTTTCAGTTGACTTGCAGTCGCGATTCGATGACGACGTGCCGTCGAGAACATATATATACACCATTTAGTAAATGTGTGCAATGAGAACGGTGCGTATACGCCGCGTGTGCCCGCGCCTGCAACCAACTGTTGATTCCGTTCCCAAAAGGATTAGGCAACAGATCAGCCAAATCATCTGCGGCACTCAGAGCCGAACAAAGTCACCCTGACGAAGCCTACGAACGAGTCGATTGAAGGCGAAATTTGGTTGGGTGAAAACGTTTAGCTCTGCACTGAAAAAACACGTTGTCCACGAAAATAATACAAGTAAATAGCCTTTTCTTGATTTTTAAAGTTTACTTTTTTATTGTAATAATATTTTAAAATTATCAAGCACAAAAATAAAACAAAGCAAACAAAAATATTTAAAAAGTTAGCAGCCATTTACATATGCATCATGTTATACAATTGAATGTATTATGTGTTACACAATTGATTTTGTATAATATTTAAGTGTGTATTTATTTTCTTTAAAACCATCGAATATAATCAACAATTTTTAAAGGGCCTTAATTTGTATTTATATATTGTTCGAATTTGAAATTTAAAATAAATATATAAATGTGAATTTGTACTCATTAAATTCTGTAATATACATATGATCAATGTACATATAATCATTTAATAACGTTTTAGAATGGCTAAGAAATGTTTGTGATATTTGTAATGCTAATATTCATATCTGAAAGTGTTTTGAAAAACTTCGAAATTTTTGTGAGTGCATAGAATAGCTCTGACTGTTGCTGTTGTTCAGAGAGTGTTCTCCGTATTTTCCGCCGCTGGTTATTCATGGTTATCGAACATTCGCCTGTGGCGGTTGGCAAACAAACGTGCGGCACGTTGCCGCTACACGTGAGCCGAGTTCCCCCGCCGCTCGTCAGTGGGTGCGAGAAAGACAGAGCAACGCGGCGAAAGCTCTCGGCTCGCCTCTCCCACTCACACAAGCGCCGGCAGCGGCACGTTGCCCCTGTGTGGGTGGGTGTTTCCGTCAGTGTGTGTATCTGTGAGTTGCAATTTGTATCCGACTTCGCTGGTCGGGCGAAAACCCAGATCGCATTCAGCGTTTTGAGTTCCAAGTAAGCGGTTCGTTTAGCGGGTCGAAATTTATCCACCAAACGCATATTAGAGATATAAAGAGTCTCCAAAATAAACAATTCATAAAAACAATATATTAACAATATACAATATAGATTATGTGAAATCGCGTTATTATTTTTAAAATTCTCTTAACGATATTTTCAACTGCAAAACTGAGCTAACAATATATTCTCGCCAAAAGTGATAGACTACAGTACTTGAGAGAGTGCTTACGTGATTCACTTCTCTTTCTCTCAGTGTTTTGCCTAGATTGGAATCGGGAAAGTGCACGTTAATTATTTTTATTGTACAACTTACTGGCTCATTTTACGTAAGCCAAGACTCGCAACCAAAGTATATATAAATTTGTTGTGCAGTGTAAACACGAAAGCAAAGTACAAAAAGTGTGAAATTAACATGTGCATCTTCCAACTATATTTCTGAGAAAAAATATCATTTCAAAAAATAAAACCTAAATATTTCCATAACTATTTTCAGATATGAAACAAAACTTATTTAAATAGTGGATATTAAACACAAAAACTAGAACACGATCTAGTCTACAAAGAAACCCAACAAGTGCTTAAGAAAGCTCTCAAGGCATTTATAAGAAATCGACCAGAATTTTTGTGTTGCATTTAAGCAAACCAAACAATACAGTGAAACAACACATTAACAATTAACACAACAAGGAAAATACGCTAAAACGGTAAGAAAAATAAAGAGATAATTTAGTAGACCTACTAGAGATCAGACCAGACATGACCTAGCACAGTTTTATTTAAATTGAGTCTCTGAAAATTACACGATTTAAAAGCTCTCTTAACCAAATCAGCTTTCATTAGGCGCGAAACATTTAAAAAGCTAAAGCTCCCCAAATAGAACGTTTAATTTCACAATAAAAACCAATACAAATAAAAATTTAAAATGAAGAACAATTTCAGGGGGCAATTTAGGTCTCCAAGCGATTTACAAATTTCGGTACAGCTCTTATGTAAATTACAAAACTGGCCAAAAAACAGGATTGGCCTTCCACAGATTTCCTGTCAACGGCAGGATAACCAAATAGTTCCTCAAATCTCCCCCATCTGGACTGCAGCTGACAGGACTCAGTTTTTGTATGTGTTTGCGCTCAATCTGTTTACCCAGGATTTTAACGACCCTCAGAACCTGCATTTATTGGCATTGCAAATTTAAGTTCTTAAATATTTTATTTTTGGTCTATCTACACTTTCCGTTTCAAATGCTAATTCGCCTCGCCTCAATGAATTTCCTTTTTGCGAAAGAATGAAAAATGAACTCGCTCTCTGGAAAAGAATACTCAACTCTAAATTTCAATGCGCATATCTTTTGTAGTTCTCGCCTTGCCTTTTATGTAAGTTTTTTCTTTGATTTCATAACTAGTCAGCGGAAATGGTATTGGGGTTGCTAGAAATGCACCATAGATAGATACCCAGATCAGATATGATTATTGATTTGGTTGGGTACAATTTATGTTGCACTGAGGGATGGAATTAAGGTTTTTTACTTTCTTTAGTTTGTTTTTATCACTACCTAGAAACCATAAAACGATTTTTTTGAGTAATTAATTTTAAATTCATACTTTTATTACCTATAACTATTTATTTAGATTTTTAAATTTAATGCGCAAAGATTTATTAGCACTAAGATTTATGATTTAGTATATGATCATACAACTTATGCTTATGGTTTCTATATATAAAGCATATGTTGACTGGTATAAAATGTAAAATTTAAGATTCAGCTTAATTCCTTTTCATTGTGATTTTGCATTTCATTTTAAAATTTGAAATTAGTACTCTTTAATTTTTTTTCTTTATCAAAGAGTTAATTAAAATATTTTATTTTACAATTACAATAAGGATAATGAAACTTTGCCTTATATATCCTTGTTATTTTTTATTTTTAACTGTTTCCCTCGCTGATTTACCAGTCATCGCCATTTAACGTGCAATTTAACGTGTTCGCCTAAAAGAGGGCAACACAAATTCAATGCAGGCCGCTTTTGTTGACAAATATAGCGCGAAAACATTCAAACTCGGCAACCTGGAAGCCCAACAAAAGCAGGAACCATTCTGCATCCCGATTCATGCTCTATAAATATCGCCACGGGGTTCCACAAACACACATCCTTCTCTCTGAGGGCTCCTCCTGCAGCCTTTGTTCCTCGGGAATCCGAGTCCACTGGCTTTGTCCTCCAACTGTGTTGTTTACACAATCAGCCCGAGTGTCTGCAAGTGAGTCACATGCGGCCACCGGGTGCCGAAGTCGCCTGTTGAGGATTTACCTGGTTACGTGATGGCTGAAGGTTGCAATTCCACCCCTTTTCTCGAGTGGGCGTGGCACTGGCCCTTCTAACCCACTTAATTCCTTCTGGGAAAAGTGGCTTCTGGCAATTTTTGGGGCTCGTCTGGTAGGCATTTCTCGAGATTTGATTCACAACGGGCGGTAAATGGTGGGGCACGTGTATGAGGTGATGTGGCCGGACTTAATAAGAGCCGATTCGGGTTTCATCCCCAAGTGGTTGCAATTGCAGCACATTGCATCGACTGCGCCTTTGATGGTCACATGTCCAGTGGTCGTGGCTTGTGGCCTGATTTTGTTTGCGAATGCAAATATTTATAGAACGCGGTGATGTGTGGGATTTGCGGTTGTATAATGAAATGGACGACAATTAAAACTGCAGCTAGTCTATTTTTAAGCAGCAGTCTCTTTGGTCTTTATTATAGACAAAGGTCAAGTCACCTTTACTTATTTTTAGACAGTTATTGTTCTTCTTAGCTTAGAATATGTTTATGAATCAAATACCAAAAACATAATTATTTATTTAACAATCAAAGGAAAACTACTTAAACTCTTTTTTAAAACAATTTTGTTACAGTTCCTGCGCAAACTGGTAAGGGATATTTTAATGTTTGGAATCAACAATGAGCAAGTGTAGACAGCTCAAGCATCACATCTGGAATAATTAAAACAATATTGACTGGAATCGGTTATGGACTGGTTACTAGCAACTCCGCAGTTGTACAGCGCCTTCTCCTCATTGGGTTGTCTGGAGGGTGATACCTACGTGGTCAATCCGAATGCATTAGGTGAGTTGCTTGAATTATTACGTTAAAAGTACTTAAAAATTCAGGGGTGTCTTCAAAGCCTTATTAAAATAAATTCCTAATAAAAGCTATATATAAACAATTCGAATATATAACAAATTCAGTCACAAGAAGAAAAAAAATTAAACAGATAAATCGAATCAATTAAAGCTTTATATAATTTTAATATATTTATTTTGGTTGGTTAACCTTAATGGTAAGCCGTAAGAAAAATTCCAGCTATGTTTTCCAACATTAAAAAATGGTTTGAACAATATTTTTTAAAGAGGTTTCTTAAATAACTTTTTTTTGTTCTCAGCCATTCTAGAGGAGATCAACTATAAGCTCACGTATGAGGACCAAACGCTCCGCACCTTTCGACGTGCCATTGGATTTGGACAGAATGTGAGGTCCGATCTGATACCGCTGCTGGAAAATGCGAAGGACGATGCGGTGCTGGAGTCGGTCATCAGGATACTGGTGAACCTGACGGTGCCGGTGGAGTGCCTGTTCTCCGTGGACGTGATGTACCGCACGGATGTGGGTCGGCACACCATCTTCGAGCTGAACAAGCTGCTGTACACCAGCAAGGAGGCCTTCACCGAGGCCAAGAGCACCAAGAGCGTGGTGGAGTACATGAAGCACATCCTGGAATCGGACCCCAAGCTGTCGCCGCACAAATGCGATCAGATCAACAACTGCCTGCTGCTGCTGCGGAACATCCTGCACATCCCGGAGACCCATGCCCATTGTGTGATGCCCATGATGCAATCGATGCCCCACGGCATCTCCATGCAGAACACGATTCTGTGGAACCTATTCATCCAAAGCATTGACAAATTACTCCTCTATCTGATGACCTGTCCGCAGCGAGCCTTCTGGGGTGTCACCATGGTGCAACTGATTGCTCTGATCTACAAGGACCAGCATGTCAGCACCCTCCAGAAACTGCTTAACATCTGGTTCGAAGCCTCCCTGTCGGAGAGTTCAGAGGATAACGAGAGTAATACCTCGCCGCCCAAGCAGGGCAGCGGCGACTCCAGTCCCATGCTGACCTCGGATCCCACCTCCGATTCCTCGGACAACGGCAGCAATGGCCGTGGAACGGCGGCCACCTTGCAGGAGGTGAGCCGAAAGGGCCAGGAGTACCAGAAGGCCATGGCCAGAGTGCCGGCCGACAAGCCCGATGGTTCCGAGGAGGCCAGCGACATGACCGGGAACGACAGCGAGTTGCCAGGATCCCCGGAACAATCGCAGCCCGCCGGAGAGTCCATGGAGGACGGCGACTACGAGGATCAGCAGCGAATGCAGCGGGACGAGGAGGACGATGAAGACGAAGATGAGGTTAGTAATAGTTATTAATTATTGAATAACATTAAAGTCAAATTAAGGTATATAAAGTCTTTATAATTTGTAGTCCTTTAAATATTTGATAAGGGTTTTATTGCTGTTGAGCAATGATCTGATCATTTAATTATATCTTCTGAATAACCATATTCACACTAAGTACCTTTTTTTCTTAAACAACATTAAATTCAAATGAAGGTATATACTCTTTATAATTTGATAAACTTAGATATTTAATTTTATAACTTCTGGAACGTTACGAATATTATTATATACCATTCTCACACTAAGTACATTTTTTCCATCACTCCAGTAAAGTTACTTTTATTCTTGTTTTCAAAAGTAAGGCAAATGTTGTACGATGTTTTTGGCATACAGTTTTAATTTTTAAATATCTAAATTTTCAATTATAACTTCTGAATCTTTACTGTATTATATTAGAATTCACACTAAGTACATTTTTTTCCAAAACTTCAGTAAAGTTTTCTTAACTCTTTTATTCAATATGTGTTTTTATGCCAATTTTATTTAATTCTCTGTTTAAGTGTGTTTTAATTTTTAATTATTCTAATTTCGCAGGACGAAGCGGAGGAAGAGGTGTACCTGCGAATGGCTGCCGCCTCGGAACCCTTGAACCTGACACAACAACCAGCTGACAAGGTCAACCACACTACCATCCCGACGTCCAGTTCGAATGGATGCTTGGGCAACGAGCCGTTCAAGCCGCCACCGCCTCTGCCAGTTAGAGCCTCCACCTCGGCCCAAGCTCAAATGCACCAGTACCACGAGTCGTCGTACACGTCCCACGTGTCGGCGGTCAAATTGGGCCAAAAGTCGCCACATGCCGGCCAACTTCAGTTGACCAAGGGCAAGTGTTGCCCCCAGAAGCGCGAGTGCCCCTCCTCGCAGTCTGAGCTATCGGATTGCGGTTATGGCACCCAGGTGGAGAACCAGGAGTCCATCTCCACCTCCAGCAACGATGACGATGGCCCACAGGGCAAGCCGCAGCACCAGAAGCCACCGTGTAACACGAAACCGAGGAACAAGCCACGCACGATTATGTCGCCAATGGACAAGAAGGAGCTGAGACGCAAAAAGCTGGTCAAACGCAGTAAGAGCAGTCTGTAAGTATTGGAAACAATGGAAGGTTTTTATATAATTTAATAAATATAATGACGAATCCACAGGATCAACATGAAAGGTCTGGTGCAGCACACACCCACCGACGATGATATCTCCAATCTGCTGAAGGAGTTCACCGTGGACTTTCTCCTCAAGGGCTACAATTACCTGGTGGAGGAGCTCCACATGCAACTGCTTTCCAATGCGGTAGGTAGACATTATTAGAGAAAAATCCCTTTGCCTAATTTTATTTACTTAATTGCCAATTTAAAACGAAATGGGGCAGAGCAAGGTGACATTTTTAATATGTTTCTATGTTTATATTTAAAGTCATTTTGAAATCATTTACAAGTTATAATCTATTGATGTACTGCTAGAAGGAATGTATTTTATATATTTGTATTTAATCATTATAGCAAAACTTCCTTCTGTATAATAAAATATCCTCAGCCCTTCTTCTGCCTCTTTGCGGAAAAAACAAAACACGTTTAATTCCTTTTTTTCTGCTAAAAGTTTTCTTTGGAGTACCATTAAAGTTTTAATATAATTTTATTTAATAATATATTTTTAAAATTCAAATGCACAATGTTAAACTATTTTTTTATTTGCCTCTAGAAGGTGCCCATTGATACGTCGCACTTTTTCTGGCTGGTCACGTACTTCCTGAAGTTTGCGGCCCAATTGGAACTGGATATGGAGCACATCGACACTATCCTCACCTATGATGTATTGAGCTACTTGACCTATGAGGGCGTGACCCTTTGTGAGCAGCTGGAACTAAATGCCCGGCAGGAGGGAAGCGATCTGAAGCCCTATTTGCGAAGGATGCACTTGGTGGTGACGGCCATCCGGGAGTTCCTCCAGGCCATCGATACCTACAACAAGGTTACCCATCTAAACGAGGACGATCGAGCTCATTTGAGGCAGCTCCAGTTGCAGATTAGCGAAATGTCCGATCTGCGGTGTCTTTTTGTGCTCCTGCTGAGACGGTTCAATCCCAGCATTCATTCCAAACAGTATCTCCAGGACCTGGTGGTTACCAACCACATACTCCTCCTCATTTTGGACAGTTCGGCCAAACTTGGTGGAGGTCAATCGATTCGCCTCTCAGAGCACATAACACAGTAAGTTTTGGACTTTAATAAATTAAAGTAAAATATAACGTATGTGTAATCCAAAGGTTTGCCACCCTGGAAGTAATGCACTATTATGGCATCCTGTTGGAGGACTTTAACAACAATGGAGAGTTTGTCAACGACTGCATCTTCACCATGATGCATCATATAGGTGGTGATCTGGGCCAGATTGGTGTGCTATTTCAGCCGATTATTCTGAAGACCTATTCCAGAATTTGGGAGGCGGACTACGAACTGTGTGATGTAAGTTAGAAGAGAAACACTACATTTTTCCAGTTAAACAATAACCTATGTTTTACAGGATTGGTCCGATCTCATCGAGTATGTCATACACAAGTTCATGAACACTCCTCCGAAATCACCACTCACTATTCCAACCACTTCTTTGACTGAAATGACCAAAGAACACAATCAGGAACATACCGTTTGGTAAGGATTTCAGACGTTTTCGAAAAAGCAATATCTCACATAGGGTATTTTACTTAAGAACGTGAATCCTTAGATTTTATTTAACTAAATTCATTGAAATGAGAATTTAATAACATTAACAATAAACATAATCTTGAACATTTGTGAACCATTAAGAATCTGTGTATAGTGTTTTACTTTAGAAATACTTAGTCGCACTAATTTAATCTCTTTCATCAAGGAATGGATGTCCTACCAGTGACTTACTCTATACAGCTTATCATTACTCATTCATTTCTAGGGAACCAAGTATTTATGTTATTTATTTTCTTAGATTTATGAGCCTATTAACAAACATTTAGTTAAACAAGAGCTTACTAACCAAAATGTAGAAATCAATGCTTAAGGAACAAACTTAAACTTGCCATAAAATACAAAAAAATTAAGATTCATTTAAATTAATAAATATTTTCTTTCTAATTAGCTCGTGGTCGCAGGAGGAAATGGACACCCTGTATTGGTATTATGTGCAGAGCAAGAAGAACAATGATATTGTGGGAAAAATAGTGAAACTCTTCAGCAACAATGGAAATAAGTTGAAAACTCGGATTTCGATAATCCAACAACTTTTGCAGCAGGTGAGATTGCAGGAATACCTTTTCTTAAAAGGAATTTATTTATATACTTGCTTCTTTTCTATAGGATATTATTACCCTGTTGGAGTACGATGACCTGATGAAGTTCGAGGATGCTGAGTATCAGAGAACCCTGCTGACCACACCCACATCCGGAACTACAGAGTCGGGAATAGAGATTAAAGAGTGTGCTTATGGCAAACCCTCGGATGATGTGCAGGTGGGTTTACTAGATATTATACCTCGAGTTTAAAATATTGGATTATTTATTTGGATTTTTAAATTAAAATTTATTTATTTATCCAGATCCTGCTCGACCTGATCATCAAGGAGCACAAGTCGCAGCACCTGTTGTGGCTGCAGAAGATCCTGATCGAGTGCTGTTTCGTCAAGCTGACTTTGAGGAGTGGCCTCAAGGTTCCGGAGGGAGATCGCATCATGGAACCGGTGGCCTACCACTGCATCTGCCAACAGAAGTCCATACCCGTGGTGCAGTGGAACAACGAGCAGTCCACCACGATGTTGTACCAGCCATTCGTACTGCTGCTCCACAAGTTGGGCATCCAATTGCCGGCGGACGCGGGGTCGATCTTCGCCAGAATTCCGGACTACTGGACGCCGGAGACGATGTACGGACTGGCCAAGAAGCTGGGACCCGTGGACAAACGTGAGTTGAAGTCATCCCACACAAAAAAAAAACAACCTACCTGTCATGTCGCAAAGGTGTTGTGTATACCGTTATCAACAATTTTTGCTCTCTCTCTGTGTGAAATTTTGATCATGGGAATCTCGCCCGAATCCGAATCCAAATCCGTACTGCCATCCATTCCCATTCTCATCGTGTGTCCGTCGGTGTATCTCGATATGCTGTGTGCCTCTCTCCTTCTCCTTTCTCTGGGCTCTTATAGTCAACCTCAAGTTCGATGCCAGCGAGCTGGAAGATGCCACCGCGGCGAGTCCTGCGCGGTACCACCACACCGGGCCGCGCAACTCCCTCAGCTCGGTGAGCAGCCTGGACGTGGACCTGGGCGAGCCGGAGGAGCTGGCCCTCATCCCCGAGGTGGACCCGGCCGTGGAGAAGGCCCACGCCATGGAATCGACGCCCCCGCCCAGCGAGATCTTCGCCGTGCCCAAGACCAAGCACTGTCATTCGATCATCAGGTAGGAAAACCCAACTCACAAAACCCATTAACTGCATTAAAGAAATGTTTAAGGCTTCAGAAAATAACCATATTTTACGAGGAAATCATATTGTTAAATATTTTACAACAAATCATTTCCTTAAGTAGCTTTATTCTAGAGTCCTTACGAAGTTTAGTTTAATTTATTTCTTGTTTCACTTATATAGATAATCAAAGATCATAAATTGTATTCCTTTAGAAGCATATTATTACATATATCAATTGTTTACCCTTTTGGGTAATTTAAAAATAATTAAAAATATATTTTCTAGTTAACTTTTTAATGATTTTACTGCAGGATATTATTTTTAAATTTAATCTAGTTTAGTTTATAATTCCAAGAATTGTTACTTATATTACTCCAATTCGTAAGTACAGACATATTTTGAAGTGAAGCCTTATCATTCCTGATACTTTCCCCATTTCGGCAGTTTCTCTGACCTTCAAATTACTAATTCCATTTGATATAATCTCTATTTAACAGATATACGCCCGATCCCACGCCTCCAGTTCCCAACTGGCTGCAGTTGGTCATGCGCAGCAAATGCAATCAGCGCTCAGGTCCGCCTGGTGATCCCAGCGATTGGTGAGTGCACTTTGTCCACATTCAACCGCATCCATATACACATCCACATCCACATCCATCCGAGTGGCGCGACCTAGCCCAACCTAAGCGAAGACAATGCCGAAAATCTTCAGATTTATGGCACACGGCAGCCGTTAAGGCTCTCCGGCCAGCGAACATATTGTTAACACGACGCGACGCTCTCTCGGCCAACTCAAATCTTGGCTCGAAGCTCTAGACCGCGATTTATGAACTTTGCGGCCCCTCGTACATTTACTTTCCTGTGTTGACAGTCGTTGTCGCCAGTTGCGCACTAAATGTCAGCTCCGTTTTGGCCATTGTGTCTGTCGGCCAGTTTCAGTCTCAGTCTCAGCCGCAGTCTCCCTGCCTTCCACTTAGAACTGAGTGCACTCGAAAAAATAAATATATTTTCTTAGAAAATTGGGTATACAAATTAAATATAATAGAATTAATAGAGGTATCTCACTTTAAAATCGAATTAAATTTGGTAATGTTATGGACTCTAAAAGTCCAATTGTGGTTTACCTTTATATAAGTCATCGGAAACATGGAAATAGCTAAAATAAAAATGGGTTAAATTGACAAATATTAATAGTGACAATTAGAAAACGGATGGACAGACGAACATGGCTGGATTGACTTGCCTGATGATGATGAACCGGAATATATATATACTTTATAGGGTCAGAAATGTATGTTGTAAACGTTTAATTGAATTTATTATACCGTCTGGAAGTGTATACAAATGTGAAGGAGGTATAATAAATGGATAATTTAATAGTGTCTTTTCTATCCCTATGCAAATGTGTAGTGAGTTTAATAAATACATATTTAAAATCAGTCTTTTCTATCCCTATTTCGATTTACCCCCAAGCAATTGTTCGTGAAGTAGTAGCCAGGATTTGTTCAGTGCACTTTTGGGCCACCGCTCGACTATCTATCTAGATGCATATAGAGTGTGTATCTCATCCGCTTTGGCCATTGGCCATGTGTGTCCGTGCTACTCGTACTTTTGGCCGACTCCGTCCCAAGACCCCACACGATCAGCTCACCCGCTGGCGGAGCTGCTCCTGCGATTTTCCAAATTCGATTGCGACGGCTGCTGCTCATGTTGAACAGCATTTTGCATTTGGGTTTATGACTTTTTGTACGGCATTTTGTTGTTACACCAAAGCTCTTAGATTCGCGATAAAAAGTCGGACTTGCCGATTAGAGGATAACGCAAAGTATATTGGGTCTGCCGTGAAACACGCCTGGGAATGAGTCCGAAAAGGGAGGGGCTGCGTTTGATTCGGTCATTAAAACCATAGTAGTTAATCATGATTGATTTCTGGCCATTAAAGGCTTTAATCACTAATTGAACTGCTCGAAAATAAAGAATTTAACTGTGACTGCAAATATTGAATAATTCAATAAGCCGAGACTGGCTTTGATTTACTGGGGTGATTTAATGCAGCCATTTATTATCGATTTTATTTTAACCATTTTATTTGTTTAGTTATTACGTTTCTATTATCATCGTAATACATCATTTAAGCAATAATAACTAAAAACTTAAGAGAGATGGTACCAAATGCAAAATAATATTTTCTTTTTATTGCTAAATATGTAAAAAGAATTTTAATCGTAATGGTAGAACCAAACTTCCCTTGGATATACCCCGACTTTCCACTCCCTCACTTGAACCTAAAACACCAGGCGTTTTTTCTTAAGAATCATTTACACCTTCGACAAGTTTGCCATGTCCGCTGCAAGCGAACAATCAATGCTATCCATGAGATACATTGCCTGACCTCTGTCGGCAAACCCAGCAGCAGCAGCAGCAGCGAAAACCCAGCAGCAACATGAGCAGCAGCAGCAACACCAGCAACACCAGCAACACTAGCGACATCAAGAGCAACACGAAATGAAGTCATCGCGATTAGCACGCGCAGCTGAGACAGAGCCTATGAATGTCGGGGCAGTTGTATCTGATAGATACTCGAAAAGTGGAGGACGGTGGCTACACTCGCACCCTGCCTGCATAAATTGTCTTTGCCTTTGGCTTTGTCGCATAAATAAGACAGATAATCTCGCTACCACAGCTGCTCGGAGTCAATCAATTCATTAAGCTTATAGGGCGAAATCAAAGCGTTTACACCGAATTAACTTTTAATAAACAGCCTGAATAATTGCCCATTGTGTTGGGTAATTAGAAATCCGAGCTGGGCCTCAGAAACCGCCATTAATCACATCGGGGGATGTTGACATTTAGCCGGCCTTACAATCATCTGACAATTGTTGCATCCTTAGAAGAAACTGTCGTCGACCCCATGAGAATGAATTTCCAGTAAACTGAACCAGTTTTGGGTTGAAATTTGCATATTTTTTTGTCCCCGATCTGCGTTTTGCTCTTCGAAGGCATGTGAAATATTCTTGCTGATATTTTATTTATGGTTTTCTGCACAAACGCTGTGGTTCCTCTGCCTTTGTCAAACGAGTTTTTGTGTTTACAGTTTGTTACGGTTACTGTTTCTTACGTGGCAAGTAAAAGTCAAAAGTTACGCGATCTTTGGCCCAACGGGGCATCCCCCATCTAAAGGCAGTGCGTATGTCCCAGAGTGCAACCAAACAAGTTCTTTTGTTAGTTTGGATAGCATATAAAAAGCCACCTTAGTTGCTGACTCAATAGTCAGGTTAGATCATTAAGGATGAAGTCATCTATTTTTTTACTAGCGAAAACGCAAGCATTAAGGCTTTTCTCTATACACTTTTGAAAAATAAAATGAATAATTTGGATAACGAATATATGTTTTTTATAACATTGTTTTTAATATTTATATATTCATATATTAACACATAGAAAATATGGTTAGTGATATGGTTAAATTATCTAAAATTCTTTTTTTAAATATTAATTTCTTTAACAAGAATTATAAAAATGATAATTAAAATACATATTTCTTTAACAAGAATGATTGTTGTACATTTCGTGATGCAACCTCGCTATGTAACTATACAATCATGTACAAATAATAACTTTTAAGATATATCCCATCGTAAGCTAGTAAAAGTATCTTACAGATACTTCAAGTAATGGCACAACTCTCTATGAGCTTAGGCAAATTAACACGAGATGTGGGCACGCTCCTTGGCCGCCTTAAAGTGTAGTTTTTACTTGTTGCCCTGGGGGCGTGGGCGTTGACAAAAGGCAATTTTCCGAAGTAATTTACTTTGACGCCTGGCGAAAATTGAATTTGACATTTTTCTCATTTTTTGCTGTTATTTTCTGTTATTTGCTGGGACTCGTATATGCAATAGCCAGCCCACAAGGAAGCCAAAGTCAACAGCTCAGGCTCGAGTTGCACTTTTCAAGTGGCCCGTGGGCTGTTTTCGACTCTGCAATCTGTCAGGCACAGCAGCAACACCAAGTGCAGCAGCAACACCAAGTGCAGCAGCAACACCCAGTGAAACAGCAGCAACATCGGGCAGAAGACTACTAACTATAGTTTTTTTTTTTTCGATTTGGGGTTCCCAGCTTCAATTGGCGACCTTCTTTGGATCTGACTCCGTTTTGGGTTTGGCTTCAGTTTTGGTTTCTACATTTTGTTAACATTTTGCATTATTGCAAATGCTTTTTGTTGCTGCTGCTGCAGAGTAATAAGTGCAACATGCAGCCACCTATTGCTCTCTGGTGGACTGCTGCTGCCACTACATCAATCAGCCCCATAAATCATTTTAATTATTAAATAAACAAGTTCCATGGTGTCTTGCTGAGTCATTCAATTCAGTAACTGCTACTATGGTCGTAAAGTGTGAGAATATATGGACTCGAGTACCAAAGGGTTAATGGGGCAACGGTCTGTAAAGTTACTTTGAAAGGGAAGGGATATGTAACAAAAAACGTTGGATTAATCGAAAAATATTATTTGGGAGGTCGAAGATTGTAAAAAAAGAATATGTAGAAGGGAAATTAGATGACTTTCGTTAAGAAACATGTTCTGATATATAGGTTAAGGTTTTCGTAACTTTAAATACATATTTGCATTATTATATAGAGGAACTGCAACTAAATTTTAACAATGTTTAAATGATATTTAACTTAACTAATTAATAACAAGAAAAACTACCTTGAAAATACTGTGTCGAAACTAGTAAATGAAAATATTCATAAAATCTTCGTAAACGATTTTTTCAAATAATCAATCCAATGGAAATCAATGATTTTTACAGCGATTTTCAAGACAAAAGTCCAGAAATCTATACATTCATAATAAATATATGATTTGGGAGTTATGACCCAAATGTTTTCATAACAAAACCTTTCTATAATATGATGTGGCATTTTGCCCTGCATTTCTGCTTTATTTTTACTAACCTTCTCTTTAAAATTTCTTTATCTCCTTGCAGCATGGGATCCTCGTCGACAACCATGGACGATGAGGGATTGGGGAAGTCGATCAGTGCGGCCACCTCGCAGGCGGCGAGCACCTCGATGAGCTCCGTGAATCCGACCACCACTCTGAAGATCAGCATGCTGAACACGTTTATGGGGAGCCACAACGAGAACAGCAGCAGTTCGGGATGCGGGGGCACCGTGTCCTCGCTGTCCATGGTGGCTTTGATGAGCACGGGAACGGCGGGAGGCGGAGGAGGCTCCTCCGGACTGGACATGGATGTGGATGCCTCGATGAAGTCCTCGTTCGAGCGACTGGAGGTCAACGGATCGCACTTCTCGAGGGCCAACAACTTGGACCAGGAATACAGTGCCATGGTGGCATCTGTGTACGAGAAGGAAAAGGAATTAAAGTGAGTGCGATAGGAACTGGAAACGCAGTTCAGAGGACGCCCATTTAAGAAGTCGCACACTATGGTTATTTTTATTTTTGCGGTGTCTTTTGTTTACCAAAAAGTACTTTGAAATATGTTATTTTGAATATGGATTCATTCAGTTCTTTCAGAAGAGAGCGTTTGACAGATTTCTTCAATGCAATATTTTCTTTTTCTCCTTCTTGAATCTTCTCATAAGGTATTTTGAATATCTTATGATGCTTTCTCTTAAATAGTATTCAGAAAATATTGTTTGAACAGATTTCTTGAATAGAGATTTTCCTCCTTATATATTAATACTTTGAAATGTGTTTTGATGCTGTGCATCTTGCATATCTCCCCATTACCAAATACTTATTATAAACAGAAATAATTGTTAGACAAATTTCTTCAATACAATTAGCCCAAGCTTTGAAAGCATAAATTAAGATGAATAATTGTTATACATTAAGGATGGTGAATTGTACCACCATCTAGCCCGCTTAATTAATTTATTCTGTGACCCAAACTCCCTAAATTACTTTCCTATGGCATTTACCACACTGCTGTTAAACTTTATTGGCCACGTTTAATCAATGGATGATTTTTCGCCTGATGGCAAATGAGGAAATTAAGTGGCTCTGAAAATTCAGACCGATGGAGGCGAGGCTCACGTCAAGACAGGCCTAAGCTAAAGCCAAAGCCAAAGCCAAGCCAAGATTTCGACCTGGCTAATTGACAATTAGACAGATTGCGCAAATGGCAGGCCGTCATCCTGTCAATATGTCCGTAGAAGCGGGAAAAGCTGGAGAATGCCGGGCATTGCCGAACAGTGTCTCACATAAATTTATGGCAAGCAATTATTCTGTTTCGGCCATTTGCGGCTGGCAAACATTTTATCCCAATTTTTTACTCGGTTCCAATGGCTGCTTTTGGCCACGAACTCAATCGAAAATCATTCTTGGCCTTTTTTTGGGCGGGTAATTTGATGTGTGTGTTGCTCATGTTTCGACTTTTGGCTCATTGGATCATTGCAGCAGCGACAATGTCTCATTGGCCTCGGACCTGACCAGAATGTATGTGAGCGATGAGGACGATCGACTCGAGCGAACCGAGTTCCGGGTGCCCCACTATCATTGAGGATCCGATCCGATCCGGTATCCCGAATCCCGAATCCCGAATCCCACCAGCCGGAATGATTTGTACCTTAATCAAGTGAATCGTAACGTAACCTTTAATATCACCCAGCACAAGGATTGTAAATTGTATGACCTCCAAATGCAAAAGTATACCTGACTAATTAGCTACGCATAAAGTGCATTATATGGTTAAAGAAAAGTCTAATCACAAATCAATGAGAAGTGCATTATATGGTTAACAGCTGAGAGGCTCTGTAGATTCTATCCCTGTCGTTAGATATCCTTAAGTTAACCTTAGTTTTCAATTACCACATACAAATATGTAAATGGGCAGTTCCTCGTTGAAATAGTGCAAATATACACAGATAAATCTATTTACACGAGTAAGAATGAAGAGCGTCCGCATCCGCACTCCATCTGTATGTATATCCTTAGTCATAAGTTATGCTTAGCAGTAATAAAGCTTTCTCTGTAGCCAAAGCCACAAATCTCTGTCTCTGACTGGGTGCAAATCCAAATGTGAATAATGTGCAGCAAATTGGCGGAGCCAAAAGATAAACGAGCGGTAGCGCTGGCCACCGCGAATTAAGGTCATCTGGCCGAAACCTGGGGGTCAGGGGTTTGGCGAGGGGTCCATCGGGGGAGACTCCACGCACAGTAGCCGCCAGAACTGAGAAAAAACAACCGCAGCAAAGAAATATTACAACAAAATTACAGAGAGAAAAACTTGAGAGGTATACAATAAACTATTTTCACAGATTTCAGGACATTCAATGAGTAAAAACAATAATAGCATATCTTAAAACCAACACTTAAATTTATATAATTGTATTGCAGTTGATATTACATATATTTATTTCTTTGCAAATCAGAAATGTTCAGTATAACATTTCAATATATGACTGGGATCGGGTTGCATTCTAACTTACAAAAATTAGATCTCGAAAAGTTGGATTCAGTGTAATAAATAAAACTTAGGCGACAAGTCTTTAAACCAACTCGTAAATGTATATAAATACAGTTGAATTACATAAATTTATTTCTTTTCAAATCAGAAATGTTCAGTATAAGATTTAAATATGTGAATATGACCAGGTGCATTTTAACAAAAAGTTCTATTCTCAGTGTATTAAATAAAACTTAGGCGACCCGGTCCCAGTCACATATTCGGTCTTGGTCTAGCCCCATACATAAATGGCAAAACATGGCTAAAACAATTACCAAAATGCGGCGGGCACAACAATCGGCCATCGGAGCATAAGCATACTACTCGTACAAGAAATAATAATAATAATTGTGGCCAATTGCTGCTTAGTTGGCTAGTTAATTGCAACATGGCCAAGACGACAGTCCACTCTCGACCAACTCTCGATGGCCACGAGTTCTTGGCCAGATCGCAGAATGGCGAGAGGCTTTGGGAGGTAAGTGATTCACCGCAGTTGGGATCCAGTTCGGAAATCTATCTACCAATAATGGCTATGCTTAGTTCCGTTTTGGCTTAGTTTATTTCCTCATTTTGTTCCATTGATCATGTCAGCATAATAATTTAATTGAAGCACCTTGTATGTATTTGAAAGTTATACTGCCCACATTGTATTAAATTCGACTAGTTATTAATTTGGAGCAGACTTTGTTTTTGCCTATTTTCGCAAATCTTTTTTATGTGGCCCCGTATTTTTGAAATCATAAAAGCGATAAAAGTGATTATTGATTTAGCTTGTCAGCTGTATAAAACTTCGTTGTCTTTTTACCAAATTAGTACTAAACACTCTTTAAAATAAAATAAAAATATTTTTATGCCAAAAGTTATGATTTTGATTTCCCACCAAAAGTCCTGTTTTTTGCTCCAAAAAAGTAGAGTATTTTTGTTATAGCATTGGGACTATTTGACCAAAATTGGATTGTTATACATCGTTAAACTCGTAATAAAATTCCCCATCAATTTGCATTCAAACCGGAAAATTTTTATTTTTTGCCCATTTTTGAAAAAATTGATGATGTTACCCCTTACAAAAAAAGCGAAATTTGGCAAAAAATTTTATTTTTCAAAAATTGATGGGAATCTTTTAGTTAGTCTCCCTGCTTTACAAAAATGTCTTATTTTTAGTTGTAGGTCGCTATTTGACCAAGTTACAAACCATTTTGCCTCAGAATCCAGTCTAATTCGGTTTTAGCCTCAGAAAACTTTGACATAATTATAGGTTTAATTTATTCAAATATTAAAGCCTTTAAAAAAATTATTTTAATAATAAGTAAAATGTCCTTTTTTCAGTTATGGGTAATATTTACTGTTTTTTAAATTGTGTGCTGACATCGCTAGTTCCAAACGTCCCCCAAATTGGCCATTCGTGGCATCGCCTGTGTCTACAATCGCGGTGGTGTGCTGGTGACGGGCTCTTTTGTGTTTATGTTCGCCTGCAACTCCGAAATGCAGGCGGCAGTGCAATTACCAAGACAAGCAGCTAATTTTATTTGCTGTAAACGTGCGCCTCCGTCCTCAGATTTGCTCTTGCTTTATGGCTGGGTTTCAAGTGTTTGCCCAGTTGATTTTGGTTCGGTGGGAATTATTCGATGACTTTTCGGAGGCACACAAGTCGTCTGGTGGCGAGAACCCGCGGGTTGCGTGTCCGAGGCACATTAAGCACCTTTGACGGGCCGCCGCCGTCACTCGTCAATTGAGTTGTCAGCACCAGAAGTGAGAAAACACATTACTCGGGGTGGTCTTTCAGTTAAATGGAGTTTAGGCCCGGGTGCTAAATGGCCAATATGCAAATCGAACCGGAAACCAAGGCGGCTGCGATTTGAAAGTGAAGAGAAGCGCTCCCCACAAAAGAAGCGATTGTCAAAGACCGCGGCAGATTAAATAGCACAATGAGTTAGTCGATCGCGAAACTTGTTCATTTGAAAGTTTAGTTCAAGTTCAGAAATGGCAATGGCAACGGCCACAACAGGTTGCTATAATTTATATACCACAATAAGCTATTATCCCACATACACGAATAGTTGTCAACGCGAAAGACAGAGCAAGAAAGTTTTTGTAGTTTTCGGGTTTGCGTATTTAATACTCTAATCGAAGATTTTATTGGAGGAACTTGATTTCTTTATGGCAGCTTTAAAAAGCAATCATTTTTAAAGTTTTTTTGGCATTTTTAAAATTGGATTTAAAGTATTTAATGAGCATGCTTTTAATTATGTTGTGCCCAGATATTTTAAAGAAGTAAGTTTTAAAAGCTGTCTTAAAAATTATAATGTCTTAAGATATATGAAATAGTAAATCAAGTTTAATTTGGCAGATTCAGAACTAGAAATATGGAAACTTACAATACTTATAAGAGGACATTTCCAAAAGCATTATAGTATTATAGACTTACCCTCAAAATCGTTATACCCACTAAGTCACTACCTCTCTTCTTTCAAAACAAATGGCCATCCCCAATGCTCACACAATAATGACTTTGATCTTTAGCCAGTGGAACAATCGAATATTATTTTTGCATAGGCATGTGAAATGCAAACGCAAGGCGAAGCTTATGTAATGGGGAAGTGTGAGACATTTAGATAACATTTGGCCGGGCCTCTCGCAACGATATGGATAGTACTTAAGGCTGGGGGAATTTGGGCATTTTTGAAGGAGGGCCAGGAGAGCAGCAGCAGCCCGAAAAGTCGTGTCAAGACAAAGTGCAATAATTCACACTCACTTTCGGGTTTTTGACGGTTTATAGGTGGGAACACCGGCAACATTAGCAACAGCAACAGTGCAACAGCAAGAGCACAACTGCAACATTGCAACAAGCAGCGGCAACAACCCCGCAGCAACAACGGCAGAATCGACAGCATGGACATGCCTAGACACTCCACTTATAGACTCCCGTGATTATGAAACTTTACATGCACACTGCACTGACACTTTATATAGTTTATGACTTGATAAACTCTCGAATCGATCCGCAAGCCCATTGTCCAAATAAAGTCATAAGCATGAGCAGGGAAACCGAATTCAATTTACGATTTGTTTGATCGGCCATTTGAAATATGAAATGTTGAACCAATTTTGCATTGCCACCGGCGGCAATTTTCAGGTCTCAGATTTATAGTTCAATTTGATCATGATTTATCCAAACGCCCATAAATAATAACCGTGATTAGGCGGCGGCTGGAAGGGAGTGGCCTTTGGCTGGGTCTCTAATTGATGGCGATCCGGAATTTAATTAGTCGCCGCCCAAAGGCCAATGGACAGGTGCTCGAAGATGGCAATCTCTCGGTTATTTGCATACGATTCCTACCCCAAGTTGTTTCCTTAAATCGCATCTTCGAAAGCCTCATCAGCGGAGACTTAAACCGGAGCCGAAGAGAAGCCTTCGTTTCATCGGGCATTCGGGCATTCGGGCTGCTCGGAATACCGGACTTTCGGAGTCGGCGGCTACTTCTACTTGGCGTTGCATAAAAAGTGGTTCAGTGGAGCAAACGCCTTCAAACCGAAAGCGTCGCGAACGCCTCTGTATAAATCGCGGACTTTTGATCGCGCGGAAGTGAAGTGCAGCCAAGGATCACGCTTCCACATCCTTTCTGTGGTGCGAGCGTTACGATTCCCTGTGTTTCGAGGTCCTCAACAAGTTAAACACATAAGTGTTTTTGCAGCCTTAGGGATACACACTTAATTTGGATACATCAGAGAACTGAGTTCTAAACAAAAGTGAAGGTAAGAGACCCCCGGGAAAGAAGAGGAGTAAACGGGGCGTATGTGAGCCAGTTTTTGGCATAAATTTCTAAAAATATTCGCTTTATTAATTCACACTCGCACGAAAGTTCCTGAGCATTGAATAATTCGATTATTTATGATGCAATTTTTTCGGTCATGTGTTATGTTTTTGCCGTTAAAACATTTGATAAACCAAATGTCGAAAATGGAATAAAGTGTGCCAAATATAGATAATACAATAAACAAAAATTTAGCTCCGGCTTAAATGAATTAATATGCATAGCATAGAAATAAAATTAAAAATGCATTCTCGTTCAAATTCTTTAGAAAAGGAATGAGCAAAACTTAATTTATTTATGGATTTCATTTGTGTTCTAACTATTACGCTAAGTTTTTGCATATCTTTTTTTTAAGTTAAATGTCATATGTTGCATAAATATGATTTTTTACAAAATATATTCCTTGAAAATCAAAATGACGCGATTCGCAAATATTTGTGGAACTATTTAGCAACTATTTCTTGTTATTCCTCGAAATCCATTGATTGCATACAAATTGACAGGAAAAATAGAGATATTTTAATAAATTAAAGTTTGTCTGCTAAATATTCAATGCATATTAACAAAATTAAAAATTCGTTTTCGTTTAAAATTCAGTCAGAAAAACTTGAAATAGAACTATTTATTTAACAAATATTTTTTTTTATCATAGAGTTTTTTCTTTCAATAGGCCAAATGTCACCGATTGCATAATGCTATGTTTAAACATAAAAAATTATCGTCTTTTGAATAGGATCTATACATAAATAAAAATCAAGTGGTGGCTAAAATTTATAAATGCTTATACCAGTTTGCCTAGTTTTTTGTTAAGCTCTTGCAATGCGGAAATATGCAATATTTAATATATACAAATTGTGCTAAATGATATGAAGAATATAGCTTAGATTTCAGAGGGATCAACAATGCCACAATAGAGGGAAGTCAGACTTTGTTGCTGAATGACAATAACAAGTGTCTTTTTATTACGAATTGGTTTGATTAGATGCAATTTAAATTGAATTGGCCATTGAAATTGCCAGCGAATTGCGCTTTAATCAGTCTGACAGACGTCACACGGTGGCAGACAGACTAATTTGCATATTAATTTTAATTGAGTGAACAGCGACCGGCAGGAGACATCCATCGATAAAGTTCATTCGAATTGAAATGGAAAATGTCAGCCCCCAGACTCAAACTCAGGCTCAAATCGAAATCGAAATCGAAATGGAAATGGAAACCGAATTGAAATAAAGCCATTGGCAGTGCAGCTGCCTGACTACGTGGTGGGTCCAATAAAATCAGACACAGAATAAATTTAAATACAATGCAGCTACATATTGTCGAAACAAATGTGGTAACAACGGAAAAGTGCTCTTTCGGTCCCGAATTGAAAGCAAGTTCGTTGCCTAAGTCTTTTGATTGATTGACTAAAAGTCAGCGAATTTTTGGCAGCATCATCCCATTCTCATTTCTATTTTTTCACGGAGTCATAAAACCCCACCTATTAGAGCTTCCGCTTGGCGAGTGACAAGCTTGGCAAATTGTTACACACTAACCATTCAATGTCATTGGCAAAAAACTTGGCCAAACCAAAGCAAAGCAGAAACATAAAAAAAAATTCGCAAATCTCGAACTGTATTCCATCACCGAATTTGCATATGCAAATTTCATTCCCACGACTTTTAATTGCAATGAAAAAACCGAAACTAGAAAAGCAAATGGAAATGCTGAAAAGAAGACCTGAAACGAGCCGAGTGATATAATTCTCGATAGTTGTTTGTCTTTCGGGCTGCCAAGGTCAGGGCCAAGTGCGTGATGCTATCCCCTGAAATTTATCACCAATCAAGATACATTTGGAGCTTTTTAAGAATCTCATTAAAATGATTTCACCAAATAAATGATTAAAAACTCCAGCATCCCCTTAACTCTTTTAAATAAGACTTAAAGGCAAGCCAATGAATTGCATATTTTTGAGTTTTACTATCGCCACGGCATTACAAAACGAACTTGTATAAGATGACTTGTAAGCTACATACGTTTCATTCAAATAGAAAGTATAGGTTTAAAAAAATCATATATTTTTCCTGGGACTAACATTTTCTTGGAAAAAATTCCAATTCGCTTGAAATTTTTTTTACAACTTAAGTGCTTTAAAATCCCCCTTTCCAAGCTAATCTTCTTAAGTAAGTCTCAAAGGCAAACCAGTGTAATTATTTAATATACTATATTTGCGAGCTTAACTATGAGATTATAGAAAAAAAAAGATAAGAGCTTAATTTAGTTGTTTAAAAAAAATGTTGTAGAACAAAAACCCTAAATTGTTTTAAATAAATGTTCTTGACCCTATGAATTGTATTCTTTCTTTGTAAATATTTAATGTACTACTAGCACTCTCATAAATCTTTTTTAATGGCTGTTTTTAGAGTATAAAAACTTCGCTCTACCAAAAATGACTTCTTGTTTTTATAATATACTAAAGGCTAACTCATCTTTGGGTCATTTTAATTAACACTATTAGCGAAGCCATCAAACAAGGCTAATTAATGAAGCAAAGTTAAATGACTTTTATTTGAATTCAATTCGATTTCCCCACAAGTTATGTGTCATAATCAAGTCAGAACCCTGACACTTCCCCCGGGGCAACGGGAGCAGGTGAACATGGATTTGAAATTCAAGTGAGCTCAGTTTATGGCAGAAAAATTAATAAGCAAAAAAAAAAAAAAGCGAACCAGACCAGGCCAGAACCATGTTCGAGGTGAGGCACAAGCCAAAGTCTGGGCTGCACCCAGAAATGCGTACAAATCCGTTGACATTTCGCCCGACAACCTTACAAGACACCACTCCAGCATCCAGCCTCCGAGTCGGAGTCAAAAACAGCGACAGCGGAGTCAAAACACAAGACGGGCCCTGAGACAGACAATTACTAATTGAGTTTCCCCCTTCGAGACTTACATTAATTACCCTCTGACGGGGATGTGGAGTGGCCGGCAGTGGCCCAAGATCCAACGTTTTGGGTTCATTAAGGGTGGGCGTCGCCCAGTTGGGCCCTGGATTGTGTAACTCTTGTATCTTCGCCGGCTAAATGTTCAATTTACAAATTAACCAAAGCAAACATTTCGGTGCAAAGTTCACTTACAACAGCGGCAGCAGGAAAACAAACAATTGTTGTGAAACCGAATCGAATATCGAAATCCGACTCGAAACAAAAAACAAACAATAACAAGGGCAGACCGACGAATTAATTGAAAGTATTTACAAAACTCGCGAGCATTTAATATCGACTGGTGATCAGAAAAATTAAACTGAATTGAAGAGCGCGGAAAACCAAAGCCGAAGAAGGCAGTCACTCAGTGATTGAACCCAAAACTGATTGAGCCCAGCGGGAGATTGGCTTAAAAGACTGAAAAATCTTCGAGCTGTCGAAAGGATTTCCACCCACTGACCTCTGGGTAATTAGCAGTTGATTGAATATTTTACAAGAGTGGCTTTTAGAGAAGATAGAAAATGGGTCATGGATTGTTTTTAAAGTTTTTTAATTTTGTTTGTTGCACTTAACACATAATAAAGGAGAATTCTTTGGAACAAATTTATTGTTGCTGATTTGTATTATTTTAAATATTTGAATTTATTTTCAGAAATCTCTTTTTATATTTTTCTTACTACTTACTACTTTTTCTACTACTTACTATTTTTTTTAAGTTTATAGTATATTTTCTTCAAATCCTGGCTTAAAGTAGAGTCTGTTTAGGAATGGTAAAACTTTCGTACAAAAATATTTCGGCAAGGTGACGGCGTGACGATTGTATGTACAAATCCTCACATTTCTCAACCGAACCTTGTTTTAATGAAATCCCATTGGTATTTCGCAACTATCCAATTGAGGATCCAAAACATTTCTAAGAAGAAACCAATTTTATCCGATCTATTGTTGTTTTGCCTGCCGTTATTTAAATTTCACCCCGAGGCATCGATTATTGTTGGTCAGTCAAAAGTTCAAATTGGCAAAAATATTGATTGTGGGCCGAGTTCAAGTTGGGTTGAGTTACTCAAGTCAGTCAGGCAGTCACGCATATGCCCCTTTCGATTTCGTTTGAATCTGAATCTCTTTTTTTCAGCGATTTCTCAATTCGAGTTTGGAGTGTGAGTGCGGCGAGTGCTATGCAAATCGATCGGCGGAGTTACTTGAGCCCAAATTCAATTTGCATTTCCCAGACAAAGTTCGTGATATGTCAGCGGGCGTTAGAATGTGTTGGAGGTCACACCGCCCCTTTCAGTATTCGGTAGTTGACACTTTTGCTGGAACCTCGCAATTAGCAGAACCTTTCAAAATAAATCGTCCAATGTCGCTGGCATTTGTGATGAATTTCAGCTGAGCTGTGTGCCTGTGGTTTCGGTTTAATTCCGTTTTAATTGCTTTATCAAAATGTCAAAGCCTGCCGGCGAAACGAAAGACTGAGGCAACGAACTTGATTCGAAAACGGGTTGAATCTGCCTTTTGTGTTTGGCTGCCTTCTCCCCTCATTTATAGTTTTAACACACTGTTTAGATCTTTAATCGCCGGATCTTAATTGTTGTTTCCTTCGATTGCGCATTGATGTGTTGCTGCTGCTGCTGCCGCTGTTGCATTTGCATAGCTGTTGGCACCTGTCCCAACTTATTGAAACATTTTTATTGGCATTTATATAGCATACACATGTTACTTCTTGTTTATGCTTATTTTTCGCTCTTGGTATCCAGGTCAAGTCGGCTGTCATTTGATGCAAGTTATTAGGCAATGTTCCTCGCCCTCTTCTCGCTGCTTGTTCAACTACAAATTGCGTTTTTCTTTCAATTTGGCCTTAGTTAACGCACAAGTGGGCGTGGCCCGTCCACTAAGGCGTAGCTTTTGATTAGAATTTCGATTTCGCAAAGAATAAAAGCTGGAAAATGTGTGACCACGTTGAGTTTGCTCTGCGAAGTTTG